CTGTTCTCCTGTTAGTTTCTGAAACAGAGGATACAAACTCACAGGGATGTCTTTGACTTTCGAGGGAAGAGTTGTGCTCGTCACCGGGGCCGGAGGAGGTAAGGTCGTCTTTCAAAGATATCTGAATGTTATCCAGGCTGCTTTCTATAACAAGGCGTTTATGTTGTCTAACCTTAGCTCCTGCTGCTAACCTGCTAGTTGCAGAGATTTAGTATCTCTGGTATTAGCGTGAGCGTTATTAAGACAGCTAAGTGTTGCACACGAGTCTTCCTTTTCTCCCTCTGTTGTTTTAGCTGCCCAGCAGTTAAACTCGATATCTTGCTAATTGCTAACACTGGCTAAACAGTCGCAAAGTCCAGTAAACAATGCCTTTATCACATTGGTTTGTGTTCATAAACAACAAGTAGGCTAGTTCAATATTGAGTAGCAGCGTACTCGTCAGCCTTTTCATTTGAGCAGCACAGGGTCTAAAGTACATGTAACGCAATGGCTCGTAATACTCCGGGTAAAGTGGGTAAAGGGTTACACAAGCGACACTGCAGAGGATAGTTTCCAAAACAACCCTTAGCTATCGTGCATATACAAATAAAGCATTTCAGTCCTTTAAGCAGTGTGTTTTAAAACCACATATATTTAATTGTTTAGCTATCTACTGCTAACCATTTATGAAATGGAAATTGTGGTTAATTTTGAATGATTATGTTCCTGCTGTATACTGTAGGCCTACTATTCAAATGTGTCATATCGTCTGCACTTATTAAATAGTTTGATCTTAGATCTGTTATTGCTGTTGCACTAATTTGTTATAATTTACTGTACCATAATGTTTTTTAATAAAAAATGCAATTTAAAAATGTATGTAAGGAATTGTATATATTCCTTTTCTTCTGTAGTCATCACTGACTGTCAAATTACATTATTAAAACAAAGTTATATGGCATTCATTATCTGCATGTATTTGTTCATGTTTTACAAAGGGGTTAATCTGAGCCTGGCTATAAAACATTCATGTCTGATGAGTAGGGCTGCGATTATGGCAAAAATCATAATCTCGATTATTTGGGTTGATATCACGATTATTAAAAACGATTATCCATTTACTGTGAAAACATCTATTTATTGAAAAAAAAAAGTGAACAGTATGTGTTTAACAGTTGATTACTCTGAACGTTAAGTATAATTCAACTGAAAAAAAAAAAAAAAAAAAAAATCGTTTTATTTCGATTTTGTTGTTTTCATAATCGTTGCAAGCCAAAATCGTAATTGCGATTAAAATACGATTAATTGAGCAGCCTTACTGATGAGTGTGTTTTATTCGGTTAAAGCACAATCTGGGATTTTACATCTTTGTCTTTCTTTCCACAGGTCTCGGCAGAGAATATGCACTGGCTTTTGCTGAAAGAGGCGCCTCAGTTATAGGTAAATAAGATATATTGGCCCCTTTACCTACATTTATTGTGGATATTACTGTTGTGTGTGTAGCCAGGCTTTAACCACTAGTACTTGGTGAACTAAGTGCACCCTCAACCTATTTATGTTTTCTTTGCCATGGAGAGCTTGTGCTTGTTGATATTTCACCCAGCATGGTTCCAGATGATTTCTTTAAGATTTGTTTCCTGAAAAAAAAAAAAAGGGTTAAAAAAAAAAAGAGCACTTGTATAAAATGTGTACTCGTATAAAATGTGTACTCATTATCAAGAGAGCAAAAGTTGAATGGGTGCATCATTAGAGATTTAGGAGTTAAATCATTCCTTGAAATGTAGGCATGTCATACAGAAATGTGCATCTCATTGACTTTCACTGTAATGATGTTACTTTTTAGATTACACAGCTGGCTCAGGTGTTGGCAAGAACATTGCCCATCCCAAAATAGTAGCTCTCCTTGCTGCCTGGACTGAACTTGCCCTTGAACTCTGACAAGGAATCAGCTTAGCTACACTTTTCTCCTAACCTAATCACTCGTGGAGAGTTGCGGAACACACCCCATTATTGCTAATCTTTTTCTTTTTGTTGCAATAAAGTGAATGACCTTGGGGCCGACACTAAAGGGGGCGGAAAGAGTTCTGCCGCTGCGGATAAGGTGGTGGAGGAGATAAGAGCGAAGGGAGGCAAGGCCGTGGCGAACTATGGTGAGAAGTTTAAGATCTTGTCTTGAGTCTTTCTCTCCTCTAGCACATCATTATCTACATCTCTCATTGTTGTCTTTTGTTTACCTTGTGGTGTTCAGTTTATGTAATAATGAACTTGATAATCAAAATAATGAATGTGAGAATATTAGCTGTTTTATAGAAAAAGGTGTCCCCTCTCACCATTGGACATTTGACATATGTTAGAAAACCTTTAAATTACAATTCAAGACAATGCTGTAATGTGTTGTATAGGCAGATTAGACAGAGGGATTTATTTTTAAATATAATTCAAATGTTGGTATACTTTTATCCATTGTATAACAAGCTATGATGCCCGATCTTGGTATCAATAGCAATCTTCTTTGCCATTGAAAAAGGTGACTCAGCTCGTTTCATTACTCAACATACTGAGCATGTAGGGGAGATTTTCAACCTTCTCATAAGCCTCTCTCATCATCACTAATATTAGGGTGGCACTATGGACCTACATGCAACCAATACCAATGTAAAGAAACAATAATTAAACAACCAACAACAGATTAATAGATACAGTCCTACAGGAAACCCACACATACAGAAATAATGTAAGATTCATTGTTTATGAAATGTGAAAATGTCCAAAAGTACTCTGTGACCGTCTCTTAAATGCACACACAGATTCTGTGGAAGATGGAGAAAAATTGATCCAATCAGCATTGGATGCATTTGGAAGAATTGGTGAGCATTGTTTGGATACTTAGCATGATGAAATCATCTCAATGAAATAATTGTTTTTAACTGATATTTGAAATCTATCTTTTTCTCCAGATGTTCTTGTAAACAATGCTGGGTAAGTATTTGCACTCTAATAATCAAACAGTTTTCTATATTAAATAACATCATCTGTTTTTTAAGGTGTGCTTTAATTGTAGTTAGATTATTAATTGGAGTATGCACCACTATAATCATGTTAACAAGATCCTTCAGTTTTGTCAAAAAGTATTCTCTGTGTATTCTCTGCCAAGGATCCTTCGTGACCGATCATTTGCCCGGACGAGTGATTTGGACTGGGGTAATTTAAATATTTTCTTTACTCTTATTAACTCTTACTGTGTATGGGGGGGGGGGAACTCATATCACAGTTTTTGTTTGTTTCATCTCATAGTCTCATGTTCCACCATGCTATAAGTAAAACATGTTTTAACGTTGGTTTGTTGTGGATGTACTTGATGTCTATGAAAACAAGTTGCCTGTGTGGGAGTTTGAGAAGCAACTAGCTGGATCTGATCCAAAATGTTCTAATGTGAAATAACAAAAGTGCAAAAGGTGTTCACGATGTTGCTTCACTTTCTCTCCATTTCAGACCTGATTCACAGAGTTCACTTGAGAGGCTCCTTTTTGGTGACGCGAGCTGCCTGGAACCACATGAAAAATCAAAAGTTTGGCAGGTAAGGAGCCCAGCTACTTGCCTGCTAAGCATTTGAAGTAGATAGATGTGATGTGTGCTCTTATATTGGGAGGATTTGTTCATATTTTTTAGATCCAACAATGTTACATTTCCTTAGCAGTCCATTGCTGGACTATAATCCAGAAGATTTAAACGTGGCACAAAATGCTGTTTGGTTAGATCTGATTCAGATGTCGGCTAAATTACCAAAGGTAGTCAACAAGTTTGAATATGACCCACTTTATGTGGCCTTTACAGATATGCAATTGAAGTTATAATGAATATACCATCACACTTATTATACACACATTATGACTCCCAACTTTAGTCGATTGACACCCCTTAATATTTCTGGCTTCATTCGTTTCATGGTTAGCAATGAAAAAAATCTGCATACTAATAAAAGCCCCAGACAGCACATTTGATATGAATATGTAAATCACCAGAGAATTAAGGAAATTACTTAATTTGGTTATGCAGCACACTGCAGATTAATATTTTACAATTTGAGTTCTTTTTAAATTGATGACTCCACAAGAAGCTCATCTTATTTTTCTAAGTAGCACAACTTGAAAAATTCTGAATAATCACTGAAGTTGTAGAGGTGAGGTTGTTTTGTCAGACCTTCAACATCTTATCTCTAGAAAAGTCTCTTGAATGTGAAGCGAAACATTCAGTGGTTAGTACTGACTTAAAGCAGTGAGGATGTATGTAGAAATATATTGAAAATGTTTTTAAGGGTTAATCATAATCTTATGAAAGATGGTGAAGATATTTTGACTCGTCAAACACAGGTTCTACTCATACCATTAACAGTGGCAGCATTCTGGATGATCTAAACCCAACACCTGTGCTTTCTTTTCCTGCTATAAAAAGTTAAAATGTGTGCTCTGCAGGTTTGCATGTTCTGAATTTTTATTTTCAAAAGAAGCTCACACAACCAGCTCTGCTCCCATGTTACTTCAGGAAACAGATGCCCTTCACATGTGCTTCACTTGAATTGGAGATGAAGAGAATTGTCCAAAAACATTAAAGTAGCATTCTGCAGAAGGTTTTCATGCACTGAGCCCAAGAGAAGCCTATTATAAAACTGAAAAATACAGATGAACATAAATGCTGCTGGTTTTAAGTCAAGGTTTTGATGGAAGACGTGTTTTCTAATATTCATGGTGGAAGGAGTTATACATTATTGTCCACAACTTAAACACAAATACATTGTGTATTCATATGTATTCGATGTAACCTTAGTTTCTAAATGAACACCTGTTTGCTGGTGCTCTGAAGCTCTGCAAAAGTTGAAAGATAGATATTAGTACACATATATACTGTCTGATTAATCCAGCAGTGAAAAGGTTGCGGTCAACATAAAATACAGCGACCCTCTCACCCTTTCTTCCACACACACCTCACACAGGTCAACAGGTGATTATATTACCCATGTGACCCAACCCACAATAGGTCCAGATATAATAAGTAATAATATTATAAACAAAGCTCAATGCCAAAATATAAACAATCAAGAACCCCAATAAATCATACGTCAGAAATCCCCACTCTGACATTCCTGACTCCTACAGGTCCCTTCAGTAATTAAATCATAGACTTTAGTGCATAAAAGTATTGATTTGAGAAATATTGTATCGCTGCCCATCCTCCTGGTGTTCTATTGTAGTGCACAGTGTGCCGTGATATGGATCACTGCCTTCTGATGACCTGAGAGACGGCACGTTTCAGATGTCTCCTACTGTTAATGTGGAGTTGGTGCTATACCTCATCACGTTTGCTTGACTGGATTGAACTCTCTGCGTGAGATTACTAGCAAAATTGTAAGCGCACGACTGTGTGTCGAATGTTCATACATGTATTTATTTCTGCATGTACAGTGTTCAAGTCAATTTGCACATAGATTGCTTTATGTGTGAATGAGCTATCATTACATGAATATACGCCAACATGTTCATACTCTAGTGTGTTTATGAATGCATGAAAAATGCACACCACTTAGTGAGCTTATGTGTGTGTGGGATGTCTGTTTTTCCCACTAGTCAAAAGCAATGCTTGTAACTGACTTGTTGCCCTTTGGTTTTCTGTGGCCAGAATCATCATGACCACTTCCGGCGCAGGCGTCTACGGAAACTTCGGCCAGGCCAACTACAGCGCCGCCAAGCTGGGCCTGCTGGGGCTGGCTAACACCTTGGCCATCGAGGGACGCAAGTACAACATCTACTGCAACACTATTGCTCCTGTGGCCGGCTCCCGCCTCACAGAGACTGTCATGCCCCCAGGTGAGCCCGGAGATTAACCAACACACACACTATTGGTCTGTGTAACACATACTGGGATACTGTTTTGTATAAGACCAAAATAGACATGGATTTTCCCGGTAGTTTCTGTTCTGCATAATGTAATGTCCACGTAATGTTGATTTACAAATTGTTAGGCAACAGCACTCCCGTTTGACATGCAAATTTGCCTTTTCAATATTCAAGAACTGTGGTTTTTACTGTTCCGACGGCCATGATGAAACCATGCATCCTGTAAGTGCTTTAAAAGTTTGAATGTGTCAGCCCTTGATTTAAACAGGCAGCTCTGACCTCCTTATTTTGCTCTAGGTGTTAGCCGTGCTTCCAAGTACTTTCAAAAAGTATGAGAAAATATGTAAATGGACATTTATATTTTTCATGTTTAAAATATTTCTTAAGACGGAAGATGTCGCAGTCTTGGATACCAACAATAAACACGATTGAACGCAGGAGACTGTTGCCTTTGAACATTATATCAAACAAAAAGTAAACATTAAAAAAGACAACTTGTCAGATTTTAAAAGGCAATGATTTGTAGGAATCTGCCATGTTTTAAAAGGATCTCAAGCGGCCGTGAAGATGGAGAATGTTTTTCTAACCCACCAAACCCAGCGTGTATAAATATCCTAACTTCTTTACGGGCATATTGTGCCTGCTCTGTGACTGCAGCTCTGTTGATTGGGTTGTTAAATGACAAATTAGAGGAATGGCTCTGCTGCCCTGCTGTGCCGGTCTACTGTAGCATCTGTGCCAACTGTCACAGGATGGCCTTACCTTAGTAAATGACTTGGTACCATATGTTGGCTTTCACTGACTCAGGCTTTTCTAAAAAAAAAAAAACACTAAAAAAACCATCTTGCTAAACATTGCAGAGTGTAGTGAAACAGCCTGATCTTTCTCCTCCATGTTTGTTGATGGAAGGATGCAGATGTTCTCAGCACGCATATGGTGTTCTGTATTTAACCTTTTACGCTTCATACTGGGAATTAAAAGCCTGTGCCTTGTTTGCTCGACTTCATGCCGACATGTTAAGTAATATGAGTCATAACTTATTAAAAATCTGCAGTTATCACTTCAAACTGAATTTGATCTGGACCTATGTGCTCATGCATTCAAAAGCTCTGTTTCCCGCTCCGGTGTCAGTGCATGGTCTGTGTTATTTTTCCAGTAGAAGACAGATTCTAATAAACAATTCACACAATGCTATAATAAGACTTTGACATTACAAATTATCATTAACACAGCATCCTTTTAACAATACACTTTACCAAACAGTGTTTTGTCCTAAAAAGCACCCATTTGCTTTTTAGGACAATTGTGTAACAGTTGTGCAATGAACATAATCTGTATATGTTTTTGTTTTGTTTTATTTAGACCTTGTGGCATCTCTGAAGCCTGAGTTTGTCGCTCCCTTGGTCCTCTGGCTCTGTCATGAACAATGCCAAGAAAATGGAGCACTGTTTGAGGTATTAAATACAAATAAATAAAACACTTTCTTTATTTCTCTTCATAAGATGAGTAAGATCTCACCCACCGTACTCCCTGTAGTTTGTAACATTCTTTGTCATTGAGAACAGCAACGTACCATTGACATATTCATTATACATAAATTGACAGTATATATATATATATATATAATTTGTTTTATATCTGTGTGTTTGCTCATGTTCCATGCTCTTTCAGACTGGTGCAGGCTGGATTGCTAAATGTGAGTATTGTGTGCATCTTCCCCTGAGGAAATGTCTGTATGCATCTATGATATTCACTATCTGTGTGTGTGTGTGTGTGTGTGTGTGTGTGTGTGTGTGTGTGTGTGTGTGTGTGTGTGTGTGTGTGTGTGGTGTGTGTGTGTGTGTGTGTGTGTGTGTGTGTGTGTGTGTGTGTGTGTGTTTTTTTTTTACTATGCAGCAACCTCTTTCTTTGTATGTGTGCAGTGCGCTGGGAGCGTTCTCTGGGCCGCACTGTGAGACAGAAGAACCAACCCATGACCCCCGAGGCTGTCAGGGACCAGTGGGACCAGATCTGTGACTTCACAGATGCTACCAAGCCGACGAGCTTGCAAGGTCAGTAATGGGCAGAAAACACGCAAAACCATTAGTGTCTTGGGTAAATACTGCATAGGCAACCTTATACTTTCATAGGCAACTCACGCACTCTCATAAGGACTATATAGTATGTCACAATAACATTTTCATTATTCATTCCTGCTTGGTGTTGAGCTGTTACTAAGGCCCTTTTCACTTTATTTGAGTCCAAATCTTGGTTGGATAACACTCCCTCATAGCCCTGCTTGTCTGCTTTCACACTTGTTTGACTCATTCTGTGTTTATTCAGAATGATTCAGATTGCAGGTCGCCTTCACAGCTACACTGAATCTAATCAAAGGTTGTTAGCAGAGGGACATACAATATCTCGAGTTTATTGAAGGCACTTCAAGGAGGACTACTGTAACTTACTGTACTGTAAAACATATTTAGATTTGATTCAATGCTATTTCAGTGTGACAGTGTGTGATATTGGTAAAACAAGGAAATATATTAAGGCAATTAGAGAGCTCAAACACTATTTTAAGGAAGAATTGTGGTTAAAATGATTTTAAAAAGCATGTAGCCAGTAAAGTACTCATGTAGTCATGACTGGTCTTTTGTAACAGTGACAACTTTCTTCATGATCTTAGCCTATTGAGCTCTGTCAGCTCATCTGTTATTACAGAGAGTTTTGAGCGGCGACAAGATAGATCAAGCGAATGAGCGGAGGAAAAGGGTGAAGCCAAACTCGATGTCAACACAAGCCTAGTGTTGTTTCTGAAAGGTCTCCTGCAAACAGGAGGGTGGCAAATATTGATTATGATTCTCTCCGCCTCCTCCATCCTGCATCACTCTCTCAGATGTACATTCGGGGAAAAGGCGGCGGTGTTAACATTACCCGAACGAGGGTGGCAGTCCCAAAGGGTGCTAGTTGGCCTCATTAGCATGACTTTGTAGTGCCTCCTCATTTGTAGCTTATTAGAGAGACTTGTTGCTGCCTCTGCTCTGTAACTGAGTGACAGTCATTATGGGCTGTGGTCTTCTTCTCACGGTCTCTCTTCCTCGGTTTCTGTCTTTGTTTCTGTTAATATTCATAGGTATTTCTAGCTTGTGTTACCTGAGTTTGTTTTCGTTCTATTTTTAGGCAAACTATGTTTATTTTTAACTCCCATGAATCTCATATCACTCGTCCATTTAAAGCTGCTCCTGGATGTGTTGGATTGAAATTCTTATCGTGTGTTGACATCTCCCCCTGAAACTCAATTGAACTTTACTTCGATCAATTTAACTTGAGATTAAGGGTATTCCGCGCTATTGAGGCAAAAAGTCTTTAAGCTTATTCATTTGTGTAGGTTTAATGATATCTTGCTGATGGCTTTGGAACAGTGTTTCTCAAACTTTTTCATACCAAGGACCACTTAACCAATAAAAAAACACTCGTGGACCACCTAACTCTACAAATATCCAAAAACACATCGTTTTTCTAGAACAGATTACAAATCACCTGGAAATTGTACAAACAGGTGGCAACATGTGTGACGAAGGTGTTGCGCTGGGCTATATTATGCAATCGAAAGTGAAACTTAAGCTGGCTCCATTGCAGAGATATTCCCGGGAGAGTGCGGAAAACTTATTTATTTCAAATGTGAAATGTTACCAATATACTCACGGACCACTAGGGGGCGCTCACGGACCACCAGTGGTCCGCGGACCACACTTTGAGAAGCACTGCTTTGGAAGATAAACCCCATATATATTCGGATCCCATTATTGATAACTCATCAAGGTCTTATTGTGCGTTTTACAACACAAAAATGTAATTGTGACAGTTATGACTTGGTCATTAAAGGTGGGGTAGGTCATTTTGGAGAAACCAGCTCGAGTGCGCTAGAATTTGAAAATACACAGCCGGAACAAATCTGCCACTTCCTTACAGAGCCCCTCCTCCAACACACGAACGCGCACATGACCAATGAGGGCACGAGATAAGTTTGTGCACAGATGGAAGGCTGACAGGCAGGTAGGCCATCCAGTTACTTTAGTCATGCTTTTTACAGCACTACAGCTTCCACAGATGACGTTTTTTTATGGATTTTTTGTCAAAGCACTTAAGATATTCATTGCTATCGGGATGTTAAGAGCATTCCATGGAATATAACAAAAAGTGTATCTCGAGCCGGTTTCTCAAACTTACCTACCCCACCTTTAAGTATCAATGAAATAATCTATCCAAAATATATTGAACTATAAGTTTGTCTGATTTTCCTCATCTGTATGAACGGATGTGCAGCTGCAGTAAAAAGTGATAGAGTGATAAGAAAAAGGGATTCATGTTCAGAGTGCAATGTTAGTTAAGTGCATGTAACCTAGATAAATCCTCTAACTGTTGTTGAGGAACATAAATAGATGAGAATTCTAGCTTGCCAACACAAAGTTAGTCTGCATTAGTTAAACCACATTTGAAGGATGGTTGCTAAAGTAAACTCAACTGATGGTTGCATTGTCAATATCTCCTTTACAGAGGTTTTAAGTTTCTATCTTTTTGAAAGAGTCTGTGGCATCATAGATTCACATTCCTAAGGTCTAATTGTTGGCCCTGAGAATCGTCTCTCTTTAACTCATTGGTCTTTTCTCACCTTTTTGTAGAGTCTATGATGTCAATTGTGAGTGTGCTGTCTCAAGTGGAGTCTGGTGGAGAAGTCAGTGGGAACCCTACAGCTGCAGCAGCCTCGTCTTCAGGGATCAATCCTGTGAGTAGACACCGCTGAATATTGTTTTTGACTATAATGTACAGGGTCTCTGCAGGTATTCCAAAATATTTAAATTCTTCACTTAATCATTTTTTTCAGCTGATACATTCATGCATTCATGTGGCAGTAATTTGATAAATTATTTCATGACAGTGTTTGTTATGTGTTGCAAGAAATACAAATGGTTAATAAATAGCCATCCTGTATTCATACTTTGGCTGATATCAGTCTGAAATGGGTTTAAGATTCCATTCATTGTGGTGGGAAAAATGCTTTAAAAAGTCCTGAATTTGACTTGGTGAACTCTGAAGAAACACTGGTGTAAATGCACGTGAACAAAATGCTAGTTACAGTAAACATTAATGTGACCTGACCATAATTTGCCCTTATTTACTTTGATAACCTTTGTCCCATGATGAGTCCTTACCCCAAGTGAAGGAGTTCAAGTATCTCGGGGTCTTGTTCTCGAGTGAGGGAACAATGGAGCGTGAGATGGGCCGGAGAATCGGAGCAGCGGGAGCGGTACTGCAGTCGCTTTACCGCACCGTTGTGACGAAAAGGGAGCTGAGCCAGAAGGCAAAGCTCTCTGTCTACCGGGCCATTTTCGTTCCTACCCTCACTTATGGTCATGAAGGATGGGTCATGAACGAGATCGCGGATACAAGCGGCCGAGATGGGTTTTCTCCGCAGGGTGGCTGGTGTCTCCCTTAGGGATAAGGTGAGAAGTTCGGTCATCAGGGAGGGACTCGGAGTTGAGCCGCTCCTCCTTCGCGTCGAAAGGAGCCAGTTGAGGTGGTTCGGGCACCTAGTTAGGATGCCACCTGGGCGCCTCCCTAGGGAGGTGTTCCAGGCACGTCCAGCTGGGAAGAGACCAAGGGGTAGACCTAGGACCAGGTGGAGGGATTATATCTCTTCGCTGGCCTGGGAGCGCCTTGGGATCCCCCAGTCAGAGCTGGTTGATGTGGCCAGGAAAAATAAAGTTTGGGGCTCTCTGCTGGAACTGCTACCCCCGCGACCCGACCACGGATAAGCGGGAGAAGATGGATGGATGGATGGAACCTTTGTCCCACTTACTATGTAACTTATTCCCTTCACCTGTCCTCCTCCTCATTTTGCCCTTTGCCTTTATTCCTACTGTACATTAATGTCTGCCCTCTGCAGTACAGATCTTCTCCTTATTTCATTTACACTGCATAATGCTGCAGCTCGAGACTGTGACGGTTGGTTGATAATGACTTCTGAAATTGTGGAGCTGTAAAATCTCCGACTGTTTCAAACATGGCAACTCATGACTCTTTAATTCCACCACAGTGTACGAAGTCAGGGACGATAATAACCTTCTCAGAAAAGATCCTTCAACATACATAATTGCTTTGATGACTGTTGCATCACTGTTTCATATTTACAGCGGAAAAAAGCCAACTGAGATTAGCTTTTTCAAAGCGACGTACAAAAGACATCGAGCACAGCAGTGCAGTGACAGCTCCCCAGGTGGGGGCTCCTCCAGTTCACTGTGTTCCCTATCATGGAGTCTAAGAAAGTGAACTGGTTCCCGCTCACTTTCACTCACTTCAGCGGCTGCGTTGCTTGCATAAAACATTGAGCCTCAAGTATAATTGAATCACATTAAATAATTATGCAGAGAAAAGGCCACCATTTTCTGTTAAACTGGTTGTAGCATGAAGTCAACAGATGAATCCTTTTTATCTTATATTACTCAAAACAGATGACTGAACACATATTTAAAAATTACAAAACAGCTGATTAAGCTTTAGAATCATCACTACCTAATGAGTGAAAGATTAATCAGGATGAATGCTTCACTAAGTGCAGTGGAGGCTGCAACATGCATCAGCATCAGGAAACAATGCACTGTTGCACTTGGCTGGTAATGGTGGGGTCCTGCTGTATAATGTAAAGCATGTTACCTTAATGTCAACGCTTGCTTCCAGGGGGGGACGTTGTTGCATGCTAAAACTATTTTTATCCTCATCACCACTGTCTATATTTACGCTCATATATTTCAAAGCTTGATCTGTTTTGGTTTGGTAAAAACACTACATTTGTATTTAGAATGTAGGCTTCTACATGGTAAACTGAGTTTTCATATATCTTTATAATTACAATTAAGATCAATGTTATTAATCCCTGAGGGGAGATTATGTTTTTCAATCTGGTGTAATTTTACAATTACAAACATAGGCCCGAAATACAAACTCAACCGGCAACCTCGTTCAGTTCCCAAGCCAAGTCCCTGCAGACTGAGCTGCTGCCCCCCCCAAGTATCTCTACACTTTTGTGTCTTTGTCTGTAAGTACATTTAACCAATAACATTTTAAAAGACACTCGACTCTCTTCTTTAACATCCTGTAAGGCATTGATATTACACATTCTCCTGCTTCAATAATATCATGATTCAGTAACTAAAATGTTAAATGAGGTGTACTCTGTCCCTGGGTGTGTGTGTGTGTGATGTTGTGTGTGTGTGTGTGTGTGGGTGTGTGTGTGTGTGTGTGTGTGTGTGGTGTGTGTGTGTGTTGTGTGTGTGTGTGTGGTGTGTGTGTGTGTGTGTGTGTGTGTGTGTGGTGTGTGTGTGTGTGTGTGTGTTGTGTGTGTGTGTGTGGGTGTGTGTGTGTGGTGTGTGTGTGTGTGTGTGTGTGGTGTGTGTGTGTGTGTGTGTGTGTGTGTGTGTGTGTGTGTGTGTGTGTGTGTGTGTGTGTGATGTGTGGTGTGTGTGTGTGTGTGTGTGTGGTGTGTGTGTGTGTGTGTGTGTGTGGCCTGTTTATTTGGAACAGGGTCACAAAGTAGCCTCAAGACAAACATCACTATTGTGTCCTCAGCTGACTTGGAGAGTGTGTGTGTGTTTGAATATTAGTGTAGTGCACACACGTAACATAAGTAGTGCACGTATTGCTTAAATTACAACACACTGTTACATATATTTATTTAATATCCTGCAAAGTATTTCATTAGGTCTGGTTACTGCAGTTCAGTGCACTCACATGTGATTTAATGTCATCCAACTGTATTATCTTTACATTTGTTAAACATGAGTGTGGCTGATATTATGTAGTTGGTCTATAATGCCAGCATATTTGGTCCAGCTCACATAATAACAAAATTACTTTAGTTTTTTCATGATATCGAAAAGAGTTACAACAATTGGCTGTCATTTTCCAAGCAAAAAAACTACCCTTGTTTTTTGTGATAGTAAAATATATGGATTTAAGAACTGTGGTCGGACATAATAAGGAAACCGATGAAGTTAAACTCTTTTTTTAAAGGTCCCCTATTATACTCTTTTTCAACAATATATTATAGGTCTCAGATATATACAAACATGTCTCTGAAGTGTTTTGCTCGAAAAACCAAACTGATCATGCATTGTAGCATCCCATAAACCCCTCTGTTTCAGCCCTGTTTCAAAAGTGCTGATTTTCTAACTCTAGCTCTAAATGCAAATGAGCTGCTGCTGGCCACGCCCCTCTGCAAAGTTGGTTGGTTATTGGCTAATGGTTACAAAAAAACATTGTGACATCACAAAGTGATGTCACAATATGATCACCTCATTTACTGACAGGTTTTTATATAAATGGATCAGGACAAAAAGAGAGAGAGTATTTCTTCCTGAAAATGTCTGAATCTATTAACACAGAGGGGACACATTTATGTATAAAGGACATGAAAAAGTGGATTTTGCATAATAGGTGCCCTTTAAAATAATTGTCCGTTGCTGCTTTATATTCAAGCAATTTGTACTTTTCGTGGCATCAGAGATTCAGGTGTAATGAGTGGCACTTTAATATCGTTTTTTTCACCTCATTTTACAAGCTTTTAATTTTTTTTTTCTGGTGCCCTTCTCCACCTTTGTGTAGAATCTCTCCAGTCAGTTGTGAGTGAGCTGTCTCGAGTGGTGTCGGCGGAGGAGTCAGAGTGATCCAACAGCGTCCCAGCGGTTACACGGCTATCATCTCAAACACTAGGCCACCAGGAGGCCCCAAAAAACCAAATCCCTTTGGCTACAAACCCAATTTTGACCTTAATAAAGGGATTTTTACTTCATCTCACTAAGGGACTGAACTACTGGACTTACAACCACATCTTTTTGTTGCAGCTCTTTAACTGTAACTTTAGTCTTTATCTGCGTGTGAGAGCGCATGACGCATACAGTATGTAGAGTCCCCTACATATGCAAAAAAAAGAAAAGCTGAGGAGTGGTGTTATGCAGAGGGAGAATCAAATCATTTTACCACCAATATTGTTTCAATATAGCTCAACGCAGTGTGACGTATAACCACATATATGTATAACCACCTGACTACTCTGACTGTAGTATTTTCACAGATGTTTGTTTATTTTGGGCTCCACAGGATATTGGAATGTGGATGAGATAGATTTGAGGGCCAAAAATATTTCATATATTTAATAACACTACTTGACACACTACCGTGGAGTCAATATCTCTGGAAACTCCTCATCTTCCCTTTCACCCCTCGTCCCGCTCCATTTGACCCAGCCGCCTAATATAGCTTATCCTCCTCTACTGTATGTGGAACTTAATTTGTTGTGTCACTGCAACGTGTCTAATACTTGCTGGAGAAAACATGCAAAACATTCAGCTAACTGCATACATAAAATATGAAAAATCAACTCATGACTGTTTAGTATTTTTAAGCCCCTGGCTACGGCCCTGGAATAAAACATGTTTAGAAAATGCTTCAACAAATCATAAGAATGACAAATAATGCATTAGTTTTGTAATAAGTTAGATTGGTGTAGTATTTTGCTAAATCCCATTATGAGCTGGGATAAAAAAAAAAAGTCTTTAAGTTCCGGAAAGCTCTGCCAGAGGATCTGACACTGAAATAAAAATCGGATTTAAAACCTTTACAATACCACCTTCCTGAGCTTTAAAACGGCATTTGTGACTCTGTGTCATTAACACTTTGACTGCGACTTTGTCCGAAACCGTTTTCAGGCTGCTTGTTAATAAAAGTACAAGCACAGATTGAACATCGCTCCATTTCTGGCCTCTCTGCTCTGGCCTCCCTTCATGGCCTCTTGTCAAGTTCAGGATCCGTTTAAAATTGTGCTGATCCCCTACAAAGCTCTGCCCATGAGAACGTTCCTGAACCGCTGATTCCTCTTTACTCCGTGAAATCCCACAGGTCCTCAAACTAATTACTGCTGATGATCACAAATGTAAACGATGTTAACCTCTTTTGCTGCTTTCTACATTTACATTTCTTCCCATATGTCTGTCTTTAACAGGACTGATGCTCTCCGTATATTTAGTTGTAAATCACTAGAGATTCTGGATTTGTTTTTGATTAAACATTTCTACTACTTCTCAAGTGTGTTCATTTATTTCTTTGACTCAATGTATCTTTTCCTAACAAGTCTAAGATTCTACAGTTTCTTGCATGGCAACATGGTACAAACACTTACAAGGGTTCATCAACATCATTTAAGATTCATCGTCTGGGAACTATGAAGAAAATATGAAGTGCGTATCATTTCATTAGATGTTCAGCTATATTCAGTAATATCTTATTTCACTGTTAAAGTCAAATCTTAATCTTGCTAGTGGCGCTGGTAAAAAAAAAGTAATGGGAGTGAGATCTTGAGAAAAAGTGAGCGGACGTCATCCTCTGACCCTGACTGTCTGTACAAAACTTGATGACAATCTGTTTTAAAGGTTTCCTATCATGCAAAATGCACTTTTTGATGTCTTGTATACATAAATATGTAAAAATATGGGGCTTTACGCCCACGGCCCTATCACACACGTTGCTATCAGAAACAATGCGCGACGTGTTTTGGACGTAATATGGTCTTTGTTTACATTAGCAAGCATCGCTAACACTGTACTGAAGAGTATTTGTAAAGAAGCAGAAAATAAAAAAGGAACTCACCTTGTGGTAAACCCGCAAGAGAAACACCATTTGAGCTCCATCCTGGTTCAGAAATAATCCTTGATGTGGTTTGGAACATGATATGGCATGTAATCACGGCAGCATTTAGCTGTATCTGAGCAGAGCTGTTCGTCACAGAACTCACAGTGTGCCTGTGTGCTCAAAAGGGGGCGGGGTCAGCATCAGCCCAGTTGAAATCTGAAGCTGACCAGAATCAGCACTTCTCTAGCAGGGCTGAAATAGAGGGATATGAGGGATGTCTAAAATGCATGATCTGTTTGGTATTTTGAGCAAAACACATAGATATGTTTTTTATATATTTATATATATATAAATATATATATCTGAGACCCTTAATATATGCCTAAAAATAGCATGATAGGAGACCTTTAAGGTTACTAATTCAGTATATGCATATATAATAAGTACCTTAACAATCTAATACTTACATAGACTAAATAGACGAGCCCTCATTTGTCATGACCTGCCAGGCAGAGGTTAAGCAGAGACACTCAATGATGTCACCCTTAGGTGCATCACATCTCAATCAGTGGTGTACAGACATCCCTAAAGCCAGGCTGCTAAAACACACTCTATAACTGTTAAGAGGTTAACAAAGATGGATTCATTATTTATTCCCTAAGTGCATATATTTGTTTCACCTTTACAATATAAAAAATGATTCATTTGCTCTGACTATATGAGCGGTGTTAATTAAAGCTTTTGTATTCAGGGTGTGGAGTTAATCAACCATGATGTAAACCTTATCCTGGTCTTCTATCTATTCAAATTAAATATTAATTATCAGAGTCTCAGTAGAAAGATACCTTTTGCATTTTCTGCCCTCTATATGATTATTTTTAATATGGAGAAGCTGACTCTCTCCTCTCCTCTCAGATTGAGGCAGTGGGCACCAAACTCCCCCCATCCTCGTTCAGCTACACCCACATCCAGTGTATCCTCTATGCGTTGGGGGTGGGGATGTCTACCAAGGACCCCGACCATCTTAGGTGTGTATCTGTATGTGTTTAATGACTGTAACCGTTCTAAGGGGTCTGGTAAATCAGCCTGTGTGAAATTAAATTGAATCTATCCAGGATTACCCACCAGAGCTGTGCAAGTGTGATTTGTCACAGTTGAGTCACTGTTAACATTTCTATGCAGGTTCCTGTATGAGGGCCATGAAGACTTTGTCTGCCTCCCCAGTTTTGGGGTCATTGTGGCCCAGTCAGTTCTGATGGAGGGGGGGGCTGACCTCAGTCCCTGGACTCAACATAGATTTCACACAGGTTAGAACATATAAGTCTTTCAAGTCTGATTCTGTCCGTGTGAATGTGTTGTGTGCTCGTATGCATGCATGTATTTCACACGGTCTTGCACACATAATTCTTGTTAATGAGGCTTTAAGACTTTGGTTTGATGTTATATCACCGCTGTTCTAATGTTGTGTGTCAGGTATTGCACGGAGAGCAGTATCTGGAGCTTTACAAGCCTTTACCCACCTCAGGTATTTCCCTCTACTGTTATAGTACATACCATTTATTTGATAGAAGTAACACATGTACTGTGTAGATTTCACTTCATAAAATAAAATGTTTTGAGCCATTCATTTACAAAAAGCCATTTTCATGTAATTGAATGATGTATAACGGGGAGCAGTCTGAGTTTATTTGAAAACTTGAGTCTTTTAGTTTGAGATTTTCTGGAAGATGAATCCCTTTCAATCTACCAAAAAGGATTGGTACACATATTTGACCTAAGTGATGAATTGATAATCAAAAAAGCTTAAATACTTTTTACTGTGAAAAACTTGTTAAAGTGGAATGTGTAAATGACCTTTCCCAGGGACCCTCACTTCTGAGACCACCATAGCAGACGTGTTGGACAAAGGATCAGGAGCCGTCATCCTAATGGACGGTGAGTTGCTTTTCCTTTCACAACTTTTTTTTATTATAGTGTATTCATTCCACACTCATTTTTTTTCATCACTTTAATGTGGCTTGTCCTGAAAGTTGCCTCTCAGGCTGATTTCATCAAAGTTAATTTCAGTCTGTGTCTGCAGGGATTGAAATAATGGACTGAGAACGGCTCATATTTGTAGTCAATTCCATAGAGATGGATGATATTATAGGCACTCTGATCTATAATTAATCCGACTTTAAACAAATAACACGGGACTGGAAGTTCCGAGGATTCACATAGATGTAATTTCCTTATACACACTAAATCCGCTTCTGTTATTCTCCTCGACTGGAGGCAAAGTTATTTCTGTGTGAGACAACAGGTCACTGCAGGAGCCGCTCTGTTTGTTTCGTACCTGCTTGTATTTTTAATTGACCCAGTGAAATTAACCAGCGAGTATGTCAACAGGAGTCTGGATTTGTTTCTTCCTGACAGCTGCTAATGGTCCCTTCACAGTCAGCTTCCATGTGGGCGTGTCCTCCTGCTCTAATTTACTCTCAATAGAGAGCAAAAAACTGTTGAAATATAAGACTATGAAAATATGCAACTAGAAAGACCACAATTACAAGTCGCGTAAGTGATGTCATAACTCGTTTAACACTCACCGAAACCTTGTACAGCCGGTCCCACATGCTGGCTCTTACGGAACCGACTAACTCCCCTTTTGTGTGATAGCAGCTCTCAACATACCCAGACGTGTAATGATTTTCACCTCGTTTAATACTTTTGACCTCATTCAGAAATGTGCCACGGTGACGGCCATCTTGGTGTTGGTGACGTGTGTTGTGCGAGACCAGAGATGACGTTCATTGAGCGGTTTCACACAAAACTAAGTGTTACTTACTCACTGACAAACTTTTTTTTCTTAACTTGCAAAATGATCTTTTCAATTGACAAACATCATATGTAATTTATGGCACAATTCAAACGGGATCGAAAAATTATTTCTCTCTCGCCATTGACAACCGTACATATTTGTTCCAAAATAAGATCCCATGGGTTGGAAGTAGAAGGGCGGGACTTAGGCTCTCTATGGGCTGTAGTGAGGAAATGTGGCTGAAGCAGGCTCTCTCTCCACTGTGTTTGAGGCTGTAAGCAGTTGGCTATTTGAGGGGGGGATGCCATCCAGTTTGTTAGCATAATTACCAAAATGCATCCCACTTGTTAACCTGCCATCCCCGCTCTCCATCACCTAGCAGCAGAGGGAGCAGGGTGAAGTTAAATGTGTCAGTCTGCCTGGTTATCTTTTACCTGACTGTGGCTTGTCGGTAGCCTCCGCCTGGCACAGCTGCACCACTTCCTGTCTGCACACAGTCTGTGACCCCCCCCCCCCCAGAAGCTGCTCTAACAGTATATTGATAAATCCATGGAGCCGTCCGTGTTGCCGTGTTGCTGTTTCTCATCCCAGTCAAAGTATTATTCAAACAAGGGATACTAACTTAATAATTATGATACCTTTGATGAGTGTAGCATTTTAAACCACATTCAAGAGATAGCATTTCATATTAATAAAAAAGGAAAGTAGATTTTAATGCGTTTATAAATGCAACATGAACTGTAGTAGTTTTTCTGTGGCCTCACTGAGTCTACATCTACCGCGACCTTAGCCAGAACAGTATGGATATAATGTAAAAATAAACAGTAAACATTAGAGGAACTTAACTACTAAAAGTAGCCTACAGTAAATCAAGTATGTTTTCCTTTTTTAAACACAAGTTAATTTCTGAAAATAATCACAGATAGAAAAAAAAGAGCAAATGGCGCATGGCGTGTAGACATTATAAAGATATTCAGAGCTTGGATACATTGCACAACTGAAGCAGAGCATTACCGGGGAGAGGGTCTCAGTCCCTGAAAGTGTGCCAGGCCACAGAGCAATGTGTACCGTCTGCTGAGCAATTTGGGAGGTAGTTAAGAAAAGGCGCTCATCAAAAACCCTCTCATTCATTTCCCTTCAATGCCGAGTGCTTTCTCTGCAACACTTTAAAGATGTCTCCGTGCTGCTGGTCCACAGTAGGAGGTCCTGGCTTATTGCTCTGAAATCAAATGTAACTTTTTGCTAATAGGAGAAGCTCGTTCAAAGGCTGGACCGCTGTCAGAGAGCCCTTTGCCAGAAACAAACCCCAGATTAATTTGTATGTCCTGAACTTAAAAAGTAGAGTTGTAAATATTAGAAGGTCGCGCCAAATGAACAATATGTAGACTCTACCTCTTTCTTGGATTTGACGCAGAGGGGAGGCATCCTGGGATAACGAATAATAAGGGATTGGGTTGCACTGCGATCTTATCATCTTCTATTTGCATGTATATAGACTTTTTGCACTACATTTTACTTTGTATTTTTGTATTTTATTATATATGTTGGATTGTTGGAGGATTTTCATTTCCATTTCTACACTGTAGCTTTGTGCAATGACAATAAAACCTTTGAATTGAATTGAAGGATGTTGTAATCTCTCTCCCCAAAGTAATTATTCTGTACTTGAGTAGAAATCTGAATTCAGTACTCAAACTTTGTATACTAAGGTATTGCTACTTTGACATAAATAAGAACCACTTCTTACACCATGAATTTGAGCTTGAAGCCACATTGTTGCTGCTTTACAGTGAAGACGTTCTGTGGCGAAGAGCTGATCTGCTTCAACCAGTTCTCAGTGTTTGTGGTGGGGGCCGGGGGCTTCGGGGGGAAGAGGAGCTCGGACAAAGCCATAGTAAGTATTCCATGTTTGAGTTACAGAGTCAGACATTTGGAGATATTGCTGGCTTACATTTGATTTGTGTTACTTCCTGCAGGCTCCTCTGCCCCCCCCTCAGCGGGCACCAGATGCTGTGGTGATTGATTCCACCAGCACAGACCAAGTGAGTGAGTGTGTGTGGGTTTAGCTGCGGAATAAATCATCCGCATTGATGATGTGTGGGTGAAATTAGGACATATTGTTTTTCTTGCTCTGAAATAACCTTTTGACAAAATGTGAAAAAGTGTTGAAGAAGGTTTTCATACACTTGCAAAATAAGAACAATGAATTTATGATACAAAAAATAACAAAAGGAAGAAGGGGGAAAAACGACATCCCTAGAGCACTTTAAAGAGTGCAACTGTATCACTTCAAAGACATTCTTATTTTATGATGATTTAATTTCATACTACATCTGTATATGAAAAGTTCAGGGGTTTATGAATTAGATATAGATCTAAACAATATGTGTTTCCCTGCAGGCGGCCCTGTACCGTCTGAGTGGGGACTGGAACCCCCTGCACATAGACCCCAGCTTCGCCGCCATGGGAGGTGAGAGGCTGTGCATCCATTGTTTGCTTTTCAGTCAAAAACATCTGTATTTGTCTTGGTCTAGAACAGGGGTGTCCACACTCTTTTCACTGAGGGCCACCTACAGAAAAACATACAAAGGGCTGGGCCGCTCACTAGAGGTATATCGCCTTATCAGTTAACTTATAAGTTAGCAAAATTAATGAAATGTAGTTAAGTTATGCGTGAAAAAAACAGCTTAAATCACAGCTTTGGCAGTTAATTCCTTAAAATGGAAGCCTCAGATTGCTTATAATAAGAGGAAATAGGGAGGGTCTATTTCAAGCTTGTTATGTAAATAAGTTATTGGGTTTTTTCTCATCAACTTAGATTTGTTAGAAAGTGTTATTTCTCTATTAACACATTAATACTGTGTTATCTATTTTTTTACATGTATATTTAAGATTTACAATATAAAACAAGCACAGAGCTCATTTGTGGGCCATATTTCATTATACTTTTTGAATTAGCTGAGGGCCAATTAAAAATGCCGCATTTGGCCTCCGGGCTGTAGTTTGGACACCTCTGGTCTAGACCTAATATTTCCTGAGATTTCAGGTAGTCATGTGTTTTACTCATAATTTCTCTTGGACCAGGCTTCCAGGCTCCCATTCTGCACGGTTTGTGTTCGTTCGGCTTCGCAGCGAGACACGTCCTCAAGCAGTTTGCAGACAACGACCCTTCCAGATTCAAGGCGATCAAAGTAAGCATCACCTAGGATTCAAACCCTGTCCTCCTTGTTGGGAAATCATTTACTTAGGTATTTTACTTTTGACACAGTCTCTTTCCCCATGGCATAGGTCTACAGTCCTCGGGTATTGCTGCTATCTCTCTTAAGGAGGGGCATTCATTACATTACATTGCATTTAGCTGACGCTTTTATCCAAAGCGACTTACAATAAGTGCGTTCGACCAACAAGATACAAACTTGAAGAAAACAGAATCATATAAGTACATCAGGTTTCATAGAGCTAAAACATTTCAAGTGCTACTCAAGTGGCTTTAGATAAGCCAGTCCTTTATTAGTATATAAGTGCTTTGTTAGTAATTATATCGCTCGAAGTGGAGTCGAAAGAGATGAATTTTCAGTCTGCGCCGGAAGATGTGCAAGCTTTCTGCTGTCCTGATTTCAATGGGGAGCTCATTCCACCATCCTGGAGCCAGGATAGCAAACCGACGTGTTTTTGCTGATGGGAACTTGGGTCCCCCTCGCAGTGCGGGTGCAGCGAGCTGTTTGGCTGATGCAGAGCGGAGTGCACGCGCTGGGGTGTACGGTTTAACCATGTCCTGGATGTAGGAAGGACCAGATCCATTCGCAGCATGGTACGCAAGTACCATTGTCTTGAAGTGGATTCTAGCAGTTTCCGGAAGCCAGTGAAGGGAGCGGAGGAGCGGAGTGGTGTGGGAGAATTTAGGAAGGTTGAAGACCAGACGAGCCGCTGCATTCTGGATGAGCTGCAGAGGTCGGATGGCACATGCAGGTAGACCGACCAGCCAGGAGGGAGTTGCAGTAGTCTAGGCGTGAGATGATGAGAGCCTGGACCAGAACCTGAGTCGCTTTCTGAGTCAGCTGGGGACGTATCTTCCTGATGTTGTAAAGTGTGTATCTGCAGCAGCGGGTTGTAGCAGCTATGTTTGCAGTGAAGGACAGGTTGTTATCTAGGGTCACACCCAGATTCCTTGCAGTCTGAGTCGGGGAAACAATAGAGGTGCCGATGTTGATTGTTAGGTCAAGAGTGGGACAATCTTTTCCTGGAAGGAAAAGCAGTTCAGTCTTGTCAAGGTTGAGCTTGAGGTGGTGAGCAGACATCCACTGAGAGATGTCCGCTAGACAAGCAGACGTGCGTGCGACGACCTGGGTCTCTGAGCGGGGAGAGGACAGAATTAATTGGGTGTCGTCAGCGTAGCAGTGGTAAGAAAAACCATGCGGGCTAATGACAGATCCGAGCGAGTTTGTGTACAGGGAGAAGAGGAGGGGACCAAGAACAGAGCCCTGAGGGACCCCTGTAGTTAATTGACAAGGGTCGGACTCGGACCCTCTCCAAGTCACCCTGTAGGTACAGTCTTTGAGGTATGAGGTGAGGAGGGAAAGTGCAGAGCCTGAAACTCCAAGTTCTTGGAGAGTGCGAAGGAGGATCTGATGATTCACCGTGTCGAATGCAGCAGACAGGTCCAGAAGGATGATGACAGAGGAGAGGGAGGCTGCTTTAGCTGTGTGCAGTTCCTCAGTGACAGCAAGGAGGGCAGTTTCTGTTGAATGACCTGCCTTGAAACCAGACTGGTGCAGATCCAGAAGGTTGTTCTGATGGAGATAACAGGAGAGTTGTTTAAAGACAAGCGCGTTCAAGTGTTTTTAGACAGGAACGGGAGGAGAGAGACAGGCCTGTAGTTTATAACATCGGACGGGTTGAGAGTGGGTTTCTTTAGGAGAGGGTTTACTCTTGCATTCCATGAGTTTATTGTTCAGGGACATCTAGAGGCCCTTCTTTTCTGGAACGTAGGTTCCCTGGCGCACAGTCTTTTCTACGGACGACAGCTCTAGTTAGATTAAGGGTCCATATTTGTTTAGTCTCGCTGATGAAGAATGTTGATTATTACACTCCGAACTAGTTAAAACCTCGAACTGCAGAAGAGATCTTGAGAATTTGTTTGGCAACCGTTGTATCACCTTGTGGCGGCAGCAGATGTCTTGTCATTTCTCCGGCCGTAACGCCATAATAAACTGTCAGTGTTCATCAAAGTTCCATCTCTCCCTGTGTCTCTCTGAGTTTTGTCTCCATTGCTTCAGAAGTTTCCATCACACTCTTGTTTATCATGCAACAACCACTTGTAGGAACATTTTGTTCTTCGGCGGCACATCCAAAACTGAAATGCTTGATAAATAATGAAGCCTTTATCAAGTGTGTTTAAATGCTAAAGGAAATGTTTAATTACAGATCCATCGGTCCACTACCTTCTCTTAAATCCGTCTCTCTTTCTCAGGTCCGCTTTGCGAAGCCAGTGATGCCGGGTCAGTCGATTCAGACTGAGATGTGGAAGGAAGGCAACAGAATTCACATCCAGTGTAAAGTCAGTATTTAGCGTCAGTGTGGGTTACAATCACCGTGAACAGATCTGTGGATAAATGAGTGTGACTTCTGTTGGTCCAGGTGAAGGAGACGGACGCTGTGGTGCTGACGGGGGCCTATGTGGATCTACATGGAGCAGCAGAGGCCTCTCCAGAAGACCCCCCTCAAGTACGTCAGTCGAAAAATGCTGCAATCAAACAGAAATATTATTTTCCTCTGCTATAGAAGTCCTCCATGGAGCCCTGGAGCTCCTTTCTTTTTAGTATTTCTATAGTGAAAACACTAAAAGGGTTTTTGTTCTCTCTGTTCTCAGGCAGGGGGTCTTCACAGTGAGCTGGTGTTTGCAGAGATCGGCCGTCGTATCAAAGACACGGGCTCGGAGCTGGTGAAAAAGGTGAATGCTGTGTTCGGCTGGGAGATCACCAAAGACGGGAAGATCGCTGCGCAGTGGAGTGAGTACTGATGTCACTCTCACGGTCGATTCTGTTTCATTTAACCTCCCATGATAAGAACTCACTGAGAAAGTCAGGGATAACTGAGATAGTAGATTTGTTTCACCCTAAACTCAGAAATCAGCCTGGAAACATTACATTACATTACATTGCATTTAGCTGACGCTTTTATCCAAAGCGACGTACAATAAGTGCGTTCGACCAACAAAATACAACTTGAAGAAAACAGAATCATATAAGTACATCAGGCTTCATAGAGCAAAAACATTTCAAGTGCTACTCAACTGGCTTTAGATAAGACAGTCCTTTATTAGTATAAAAGTGCTTCGTTAATAGTTCTATCGCTCGAAGTGGAGTCGAAAGAGATGAGTTTTCAGTTTGCGCCGGAAGATGTGCAAGCTATCTGCCTTCCTGACAGCAAACCCACGTGTTTTCGCCGATGGGAACTTGGGTCCCCCTCGCAGCGAGGGCGCAGCGAGTCGTTTGGCTGATGCAGAGCGTAGTGCACGCGCTGGGGTGTACGGTTTAACCATGTCCTGGATGTACGAAGGGCCAGATCCATTCGCAGCATGGTAAGCAAGTACCAGTGTCTTGAAGTGGATTCTAGCAGTTACCGGAAGCCAGTGAAGGGAGCGGAGGGGCGGAGTAGTGTGGGAAAATTTAGGAAGGTTGAAGACCAGACGAGCCGCTGCATTCTGGATGAGCTGCAGAGGTCGGATGGCACATGCAGGTAGACCAGCCAGGAGGGAGTTGCAGTAGTCTAGGCGTGAGATGACGAGAGCCTGGACCAGAACCTGAGTCGCTTTCTGTGTCAGCTGGGGACGTATCTTCCTGAAACTTTATTCGCTCTGACACTGGCACCTCAAACTAAAAGTATGAATTATAACTATGAGCTATAAAGTTGACTCAGATTCAAATGTTGCTAACAAGCTCTCAAATATCAGATCAAACATCGGCACAAAAGACAGAATAAATCACCCAATGAGATGTGAAAGCAAAGCCAAACAAAACAGCACACTTAGGATGCTTGTGATGTATTCTCTCATCTTCCTCTTCTTCCTGCAGCCATTGATCTGAAGAACGGCAGCGGCTCCCTGCAGAAGGGCCCTCACAGCGGGAAGGCGGATGTGACCATCACCGTGTCAGACGAGGACTTCCTGGAGGTGGTGCAGGGGAAACTCAACCCTCAGAAGGTAACACACAAAATTCAGGCCATTTTGAATTGGCCCTCAGCCAATTCAAAAAGTATAATGGAGTATGGCCCACAAATGAAACTTGTGCTTGTCTCGTATTGTACTTCTTAAATATAGATCAAAGCAGATATCACACAGTATTCATGTGTTAAGAAGCCCACTTTTCAAACAATTCAGTCAATTAAATTTGAAAATGTTTTCTATCAAATCTAAGTTGATAAGAAAAAAGCCCAATAACTTATTCTCAAAACACGCTTGAAATAAACCCTTCCTATTTCCTCTTATGATAAGCTCCTGTTTTAAGGAATGAGCTGCTAACAAAATAAATGAAACCCTCTGGAGAGCTGGGATGTAGGCTGTTATTTTTCTTAAAGCATATTCAAGTATTAAGAATAATTTACCTTCATTTGATTAATTTAGATAACCTTTGAGGCAATATACCTCACCTCTAGTGAGTGGCCCAGCCCTTCGTATATCTTTCTGTATGTGGCCCTCGGTGAAAAAAGTTTGGACACCCCTGCTTTATACTGTTACATTGTTCCAGAGCACCACCTGCTTAGCATCTATACACTAAGGGAGTGTTGTAATTCAAGTTTCGCAATACAGATATATTTTTGGGGGAAAACGATCTTCATTTTTTAAATCCCGTCTTTTTCTTCTCCGTATTAAAATCCCACCTTGTACATTTTAATTAAAAGCAGTGCCTTTGAAGAGCCCTTTAAATCTTTAATGACTTTGTCCTTGATCTCATGTCAAAGAAGTAAATAAAATGATTAATCAAACTGAGTTCAGAGAGCACTCAATCAATCTACGCTGCACGTTACGTCTGAGGGACTGATCATCACTGGACGGAATTGATATGCTTCCTGGAGCGCTGGATATTGATCTGAGGCCTGTGTGTGGTGTGGGTGTTTCATAAAGAGTTTTAACAGGCCGCAGTGCTGAAGCTCCTTTAGGCGGGGGGGGATTCCAGCCTTGCCGATGATAAGAGCAGCAGGAGGAATATAAGTTGGCAGAGTTAAAGAGGATGCTGCGACCTGTCACCCAGGGTCGTCATGGCAGAAAGCGATAAAGAGACTGCACCTCGCAGCTCTGAACCTTATGAATATTTTTCACCAACTTTTTCATTTGTAGGAATCTTTGCCTTGTTTCCCTCCCCTTTTACTTGAATCAAACTAAAAGCCCAACTGAAAGTATGTCTGTCGTTTTCTAGGCGTTCTTCTCTGGCAAACTGAAGGTTAGAGGGAACATTATGCTGAGTCAGAAGCTGGAGGTCATCCTGAAAGACCACGCCAAGCTGTGAGCTCCTCAGACGACTCCATTAACTCAGCAGCTCTCTCCGTCCATGTGTGTCAATATGATTTTCCTCTCCAGGGAGACTTGTGATTTATACCGCTTCAGAATAAATGTTCTCATGTAAAATAACTTTTACTGAAGATACAAAATGTAGAAACATGACTTGATCAAATAGACGGTTTACTTAAATGTATTCAATTTCATCGTTGAGTTCACCGAGTTTGGTCCATAAGGTCTCTTTGCTTCTGAAAATGTGCACTTAACTCAACTGCCTTTTTAAGATCCAAAAATTAACCAATACTTTTAAAGATTTCTTTCAGTTTTCTTTATCTTAAGAAGATAGGACACACAGGCTTTAACACAGTCGTCCAACATTCTGCCCAGAATTGGGTCAAGGCACTGTTTGAAGTGATAATTCAAATCTAAAACTGTTTTATGGTCGTAATTATTTCATTAGACTGACTAATTATATATCTGTTAACTCTGATACAGCAACCTCAGTTGAACCTTTGAGGAGTGTAATCATTTTGTTCAAAAAATAAATGAAGTAGTTTCAACTAAAAGCTTATTTTCAGTATATTTAATACTGCTGGACTATGGAAGGTAATTAAAATGTCTATAACTTCTATTTTTATAACAATGTATCGGATGATTATAGTAAAAGGGTTGCTTGCAGTGATGAATCCACACAGAATGATCGTCTGGATCTGAAGTTCTCCTCAACTCCAAGGAGCTATGTCGCTATTTTCAGCTGGTTTTTGTGTCCGCCTCACATCCATACAGCTTAGACTCAATCCCGAGTTATTTTTTAGTGACAACACCTTAAAAAAAACAACTTCCCCTGTGGAGTGTAGCACCAGTAGAGGTTTGTTTTGTTTTTGGACACAAGCGGTCCTTTTCTCACACTATCCCATTGATCTGGTGGTGCAAAGAAATCAATGTAAACATAACTGTTTGAGATAAAGCTCCACAGGAAAAGTGAGTCATAAAATGTATGGAAATGTAAACTAACTATGAACATATCTTTATATCAGTGCAATGATGTTGATTATGATAATGATTTTGTTTGCTCAAATATAAATAAAGTTATTCAGACTAAAACAACTGAAACGTGTCAATGTCATACTTACTATGGAAAGTAGATGTTTAATTTTCCTGTTTCTAATAAACGCATGGCCCTTTGGTTTGAGATATTTGATCAACAGTCACGTTTGTTTCTAAAATTACAAAAAACATCTGCTTTTAGCACATCATTATTTTTATTCAACCCAGTCTCATGACATTTCGTGTTCACCACGATTTTTAATCTATTGATTCGTGTTCACCAACACGATTTTCCCCTTTTTTTCGTGTTGCACAGCACGATTTTAAAAGCAATGTATTTCTACTGGTAATGACGCTCATGGAAGCACGGCATTCGTTTATGTCGGCTGCCCTTAAAGGCAATGTGAGCGTCCATTCTCATTGGATAACGGAGAATTGTACACCCGGAAGTAAGTATTCCCCTTACTGTCGATTGATTTTACAGTGATATCTGCACTACTCATCGACTAAAAAACACCAGATTATCCTTGTTAATTACACAACATTGATTGGTTTAAATTGTGTGCAATGCTTTTGTATTTTTCCCCTTCGATTCGGAGAAACAAATATTTTTTCGGAGTAAAGGATAGCAGAAGACACTACACTACCCAGAATCCCCAGCTATCGTTTAGGACTACACCATGTGCTCTGTTTGACAAACCCCGTGATAGTCCTCAAGCTCTGTGATTGGAGAGTGTGCTCCGAGGGTTACGCCGAGCCTCGAACAGCACTTGAAATGGGATGGAACCACGGCAGACTGTCCAAAACTGGATTTGAACGGGTCCACCAAGTCAGCCGAATTAGTGTTGATACTGCAAGGAGACGTACTGTGTGAACATAAATGTAATATGTTGTTTAATGGCTGATATATTTAGGATCCACGTCACGTTTTCAGTTCCTCATGTTTGTCTAGAAGTCTTCTCATCAGGGCTCTATAAATACAGAACTACGGCAGATATGTAATATTTAATGCAGCCGAACCGTGTATTACAATGCCGGTATGTGATGACTTTCAAAGAGAAAAGCAAGCACACTCGGGATAAAGTTTTTTTTTTTAATGTTTTCGGTCTGTTTCCGGTATTTGTTAATGACGATGTGCTGTGAGATGTGAGACTGGAATTGCACAGGGGAAAATAACGTAGGCTATCTTTAGATGCGGATTTTGTTAAACTAATATGTTTGTGCTGTGGACCAACACTATACATTGACGGGGAAGGGGGTAGCAATAAAGATAACACCATTAAACAGTTACACAACGTAACAGAAATAATATCGATAGCAGCGTCCCTAGCAACAACCTTGGTAACAATGAAAACTTCCTGAAGTAATCTTCGTAATAACTAGCAAACTAAAGATCATGTACATCCACTGCACACATAATCTGAAATAACAACTCATATTTCTCGCATCAAATGACATCAAAACGCATTTTAATGGCCAAACTAACTTTAAAATAGGCATTTTCCACCGAGAATAAAACGAAGTTCGGCCATGTTCTTTTTTTCTTCAGGGAGAAATTTGAAGATCACGTGACATAGACGCCAGCCATTGGAATGAATGGTGAAAACAGAGCACATGGTGTAGTCCAAACGATAGCTGGGGATTCTGGGTAGTGTAGTGTCTTCTGCCATCCTTTACTCCGAACAAATATTTGTTTCTCCGAATCGAAGGGGAAAAATACAAAAGCATTGCACACAATTTAAACCAATCAATGTTGTGTAATTAACAAGGATAATCTGGTGTTTTTTAGTCGATGAGTAGTGCAGATATCACTGTAAAATCAATCGACAGTAAGGGGAATACTTACTTCCGGTTGTACAATTCTCCGTTATCCAATGAGAATGGACGCTCACATTGCCTTTAAGGGCAGCCGACACAAACGAATGCCGTGCTTCCATGAGCGTCATTACCAGTAGAAATACATTGCTTTTAAAATCGTGCTGTGCAACACGAAAAAAAGGGGAAAATCGTGTTGGTGAACACGAATCAATAGATTAAAAATCGTGTTGGTGAACACGAAATGCCATGAGACTGGGTTGTTTTATTACATCTGTATATGTTCTGTCTTTAATACATCAATTTACATGACATTATAAAATTAGAATTATCTGATCAAATTCACATTTACAATCGGGGAAAAAGCAATACGTGTGAGTTGAATGTGATTTTTATTTAGCTGAGTTTGTTTACTCTGACCCTGATGTGGTAAACTGATCTGTTTATGAGTCTTTAAAGAAAGATGAGCAAAATTTAAAAAAAAAAAAAACACTTTCTTTGATAAAATTGACTTTATTCTCCCGTTCTGTACATTTAGTTTGGCTTTGATAAAAAATATTTAATCTCCATTTGCTGCAGGAGTACACTTCAGTTTCCAACCACTGTGATTTGTGGGGGAAAAAATGAAACACATCCTGGTTGTTCAAGCGGGAAATAATGAGCAAAAAGAAAGTATTCGTGAACTATCGAGAGGAAAAAAATAACATTACGTCTGCCTTGATAGATGGCTCAGTCGATAATCCATAATATGTTTAATAAATATACCTGTTTTATACAGAATATTCTTCATAAAGTGGCTCTGGTCATATATACGACTTATGATTATGCAGTCATCATGAGAGGCCTATAGATCTATGTATATACATAACTAATACATCTGAAAACGTATCCTCCCTGAAATCAAAGGTGTTTCTCTACAGCAGCACAAGGGTTTATGGGTAAATAGCTTCATTATATTCCTTCAGACTAAACGACTATCGGACAGTTTGCATTAACCTCTTCCTCACACATGTGGAAGAACCTTCATATTACACACTAACCTAGATTACATTTCCAAAGCATATACTGAAGGCAATCTTCTGATTTAGGATGAAAAATAAAGCAACTGAATGATAATAGAGTTATTCCTATAACCGTGACAAAGCAACTGATGAAGCAAAGCTGATAATACTCCGAACACTACAAGGCAAACAATATCGTCTCCAAGGCGGTTTGCAATCATGGTCCGTTTGGAAATTAGAGTTAGCAGTAAATGAAAGGGAAGTGCATTGTTATCGGAATAAAGCATCTCCACAACAAAATAGTATGTTCATTCAAATTGTACTACTACCCCCATTGTAATCGTACCCCAACCCCTTTCCATTGTCAACAGCAAAGTGTCCTGCTACATGTCTTATCATTTTACTGTCAGCCAGAAAGGTATTATGGTATACACGTGTCCCATTCAAACAAGTCCAATAATCATCAATATTGTGAAGAGCAACAAAGTACTGTGCCAGTGTGGTTTAAGTAGTTTTCAGATAATAAGGACACTTAATACCAGTTTAATCTAGGCTTGGATAAACACACTTCCTACTATATATTCAACTTATTATTACCAAAGGATAGACTGCTTTACCGACATCCGGCCTCATATAGTCATATTCACTACATCTTATCAAGCTTCATGATTATGTGCAAATAGAGTAATTTGAGAAAATGCGCATTCAGGTAGAACGTTGGATAGCGGCACACACATACACTCATGTCCCACTTTACCATGAGCTTGATTAAAATAATGTTTAAGCAGTTAGGGAAATATCCTTATTTTCTAACCAAACACTAGATATGATACTCTTTTTTTCTGCGGGTTGACTATGAAGTTTTAGCAGCTGGTTAGCTTAGCTTACCTAGCATGGCTCTGGAAACGTTTTTGTACGTCTTAGCCTTTGTGCTAAAATGGCTAGCTTGGCTCAAAGACTGTAGCTAGCTGTCTGCTGGCAGTAACCGTACAGTTACCAGTGGAGAAAGGATGTACTCTTCTCAAACATTTATGCCAGAAAGTGCATTTGCGTAGTAAGTGTCTTAAGATATTTGCGTTTTTTTTTGCACTTAGCCTATACGAAAGCATTTTCCTGGTTGAAAAAGGTCAACAGCCAATTGCCTGTAATTAAAACCTGAAGTGATAATAGTGATATGAAATGTTGTTGTGTAATTCCCAAAGTGTGGTTTTACCACGACAAACACCTGCTTTCCCAACCAAGCTGACTCTTTGTGTAAAACATTTTTTTTTTTGTTTAAAATGGAGCACCATAATGCGCCTTGTGACTGGATATAATGTGCTTTGTAGGACACTCGCCTTACTGCATTGTGCTTGTGGTGACGTTTCCCCCCCCCCCCCAATTATCCTGCCTGTACAACACCGTCTACTACATTTTACCACCTTAACACTTCAGCAATGACTCCAGCTTCCACCCCCATGATGCTTTGCTAATACGGACTAATATACTGTGATCTGAGAAGGACAGCGCTGCGGCGTTAGACTCTTCACACAGTCACTTCCACAGCTTCACTTCCTGTGCAAAAAAAGGCTCCCCACGTGATGTCCAGTCCTCGCTGAGACAGCAGTTTGCTTTAATAAGTCTGCAGCAGTTTTTTGTCTCTTTCAGTTAATTCCGATAGACTGTGCCCTCGGCATTACCCGGTGCCCACTTTAACTGCAGGTTAAACACTTGTAGAGGCTCCTGTGATTGGTCGGCTTCGGGTCATGTCCTAATCAAAGAGCTTCGATGCGATCTTAGGCATCAGACTCACTGGATCTCACTCTTTTCAGTAGTCTTTTGAGTATTCCTCCTTGTTATTTAATTCTTCATTTACACTGGTTCAAAACACTTATAATTGTTCTGTCACGGCCTGACGAACACTGTTCCAGGTGTAGAGGCGTTTCCACGGTAGCAGTACTGCTAGATTCACATTATAATATTAAATAGCTTTCACCAATGTATGTGTCTATATTATGAACTTGACGTCACTGTTGTGGTTGTTGTTATTATTGGCGACACTGAAGCGGTTGGGGAGGACCCTCATCTTCATGGTCCCGTCAGCGCCGCAGGAGAAGATGTGATTGGCCGGTCCCACCTCGATCTGCATGACGCCGGTGCCCAGGTTCCTGAAGAGCGACTGGCGAGCGTGTTCGTTGGGAAAGTTGTAGAGCGGACACTGTGTGGCCAGGCTCCAGATCTGGGAGAGAAGAGAGGAAGAGAAAAGTTAACAAAGAGATTATTTTTGTGTATAAGTGCTGCATATTGAAGAACCTCTGAGGATAAACACAGAGCTCCACGACAGTGATTCAACTGCTACTTTGATTGTCCTTTTTCCCAAGGTACTTATACATCAGGATGAAGCACCATTTTATTCTTGTAAGGTTGAGTATGATTAGGACTTATGTTCCAGCTACCAGTACAATGTCTCTTTCTCTCCCCATTTAAATTTCATTTGTAAATCATCTTCCTATTTAGCTAGGTGTTGCCCCACAAGGATCCTCAAACTCAGGAATTAGCTTTATCTCATGTACACTGCTTTGTTGAATAGCCAAATCAGGTAATGCTCACCCAGTCTGTTTATTTCACAAATGTGTTTTATAAGTAAATTAAAAACTGGTTAATCTGTATTTGGTTACATATGGCATTTTGTTGGAAAGTGGCCATTGTATAAGTGCAATAATTCCTTACTAATTTGATATGTAGCATTCGATAGATACACATATGTGTGTATTGTGTATATACACTATGCATATACTTCCAGACATCAATGTTTTAAAATAGCCTAGTAAAAATACATTTTAAATAAAAAATGTATACACCAAACATAAATTCTAGACATTTGTGACCTGCTTTCAAATATTTAAATCTTCAGGGAACCACGGATAGCTCTGAGCAACTTGCATTGTTTGAGTGGTATTCCCGGCCTGGGAGCTTTATTATTTGATAAGGTATTTCAAAGACTGAAGGCTGTTATGTTAGTTCATTTTCCACTTTCATGGACTCTCATCTCATCAACATTTTAAATACTCAGAAATCTGCAGCTCACCCACGCTACATTTCCAATCAGTCAATATACAATGAATGGCCTCAGATGATGGAGTTTCTGGTAGCAATCATCCAGAATAAAAGCCATTTGGGTAACACTTTATATTAAGGTACACAAATTAACCATCAACTAGTTGTTAATTAGCATGCATATTAGCAGTATAATGGCTCTTTATTAGTCATTATAAAACACTTATTAATGCCTTATTCTACATGACCATATTCTACAAGTAATAAGCCATTAGTTGAGAGTTTTTCCTCAATAACCCTCTAATTAGTGCTTATTTGTTGCAAGTAAGGAAGTTGTTGTCCATGAGTTTTGGTCTTAATATGCGCTGCTTAATATGGGCCTAATAAGGCAGTAGTAGCACAAGAATAGTAATTCTCCCATAATAACACTTAACAAATATAATCTATTCTTATGGAACAAGACATGAAACTATAAGTGTTAATTGTGTCTAAATAACTCAAAATTAGGTATTTATATTTTATAATATGTTTTGGGGTATTGACAGTTCAGCTACCAATAGCAAGGTGATATTGACCTGTATGTTTCATATTTGCCCATTTATATTTGTGTAAAATGTGTACTGAAGGTTAGACCCGGGTACAGGAAGTAGGAGAACGTGAACTACACTGCTACTAATTTTCCCTTTGCAACCTGAAGAGTTTTGATTGATTGATTGATTGAAAAGTGTATTAACAGCTTGTATATTGGGTACAGTACAGTACAGCTCAAAACATACAATTGTTAAGGGGATGCAGACCAGAGAAAGACTTTCGTCTTGTTTACATCAGGGTCCCCCATTTCCAATTCATAATGTCATTTAAGACATATTTGACATACAGATGGCTTATTTACAATTTACATACAGGTGGTTTTTTTACATACAGATTGCTTGTTTACAATTTTCATTCTAGATTTCGTTCTAATACATCCTAACCGGACATTTAAGACATACCAAGTCTACAGATATACAGTTAGTAACAGAGTCTAAAATGCGAGTATATACATAGATGGGGGGGGGGGGGGGGGGAAGCTGTCCATTGAACGACAGGTTGAGATTTGTACCATTACCGGGGCCAGTTTTGCAATGCTCTCCCCCGAAGGTGCTCTTTAAGAGAGGTTTTGAAGGTAAATATAGTTTTACTTTCCTTTACAGTTGTGGGAAGAGCGTTCCACCTTGATGTGGCATAATTGCGAAACGTCTATTCCCCCTTTTTTGTGCCAAATCTGGGTTTCACATGATTTGTGGAGCTCCCTCTGGTGTTATGATCATGGTATTCCTTGACCTTTGGGAAGAATTTTGACATGTACATGGGTACCATAGAGGTGTAGTGGATCTTGTAGACCAGGCCCATTGCAAGTAGCTGTACTCTGTCGTCTACTCTAAGCCATCCTAGGTTGTCAAAGTGGGCAGAGGTGAGGTGGGTTCTAGATGAAAGGTCAAGCAGTAGTCTGACCAGTTTATTTTGCGATGTTTGAAGTTTTATTTTTAGCGCCTTGGAGGTGCTATGGTAGGCTACCATGACGTGCAAGCATAGTCATAGTACCCTTGAATGAGTGCTCCTGCCAGAGTTTTCAGGGTGTTTTTGTTTACCAGAGAGGAGATCCGGTATAGGAATCTAGTTCTTTGATTGACTTTTTTTATTACATTGGATGCCATTTTGTCACAGGAGAGGTTTGCCTGAAGAATGGATCCTAGGTATGTACTTTCCTTCTTACTTGTGACAATAATGTCGCCCACTGCAACTGAGAAGTCGTCGGATTTGCTGAGATTATGTTTCGAACCGAAGAGAATGGACTCTGTTTTACCCAGGTGTAATGATAATTTATTATCGGCGAGCCAGGTGCAGATTCTGCCGAGCTCGGAGCTGAGGGTTTTTTCAACCTGCAACCTGTTCCTGTCAGAGACCAGCAGGGCTGAGTCGTCCGCGAACAGGAACAAGTTGCAGTCACATGCTGATGACAATTTGCTGCCCTTTTTGTGCAGGGGGGTTACTCTTGCAATTTTGAAGTCTTTGGGTACTTTTCCCTGTTTTATGGAGAGGTTAATTATGTGAGCTATGACTGGTGAGATGGCGGTTGTTGAGTCTCTGAGGAATTTGGAGGGGATATTGTCGTGGCCAGTGGCCTTGTTAGGTTGGATTCTTTGAATTCTTTTTGGCAGTTTTGATCATGGAGCTTACGTCATTTCTTAGTCTGTTTCTTTCAATTTTGAGTTCAGTCACGTGGGCCTGGAGTTCACTGCTCGTGCTTTTGGAAAGCATTGCCTGACTTTTATGAAACTCAGAGCATTTTTTGTCTCTGGTTTTCATGGCGGTCAGTATGCCGGAGTGCATCCACGGCTCAGCGCGATTTTTTACCCTGGTTGTTCTTAGGGGGGCCAAATCATTGAGTATTGCAGAGAATTTGTTTTTTAAACCAAGCCATGTTTCTTCAACTTGTGTACCACTGAGCTCATCTGACCAGTCCAGGCTCTCCAGTTCTAGGTTAAAGGCCTCGCTAGAGTAGTTTTTGAGGTCTCTAGATATGACTGTTTTGTGACAGCCGGCCCTTTGTTTTAGCTTTTTGCGGGTACAGAATATCATATAATGATCACTTAACCCGCATGCTATAACCCCTTTACTGGAGATCCTGGACTTGTCAGAGGTCAGAATGAGATCAATGGTAGTTTGTGTTGTTTCACATACCCGGGTGGGTTGGGTGATTAGCTGGCTGAAGCCGTGCAGATCACAAATCCTACTGAAGGACTTGAAGACGGACGTGTCTTTACGTTGCATATCCGTGTTCCAGTCTCCAATAATAATTGTCTCTACATCCCCCACATCAGCCAAACACCCATCTAATGTATCATAAAAGTCACTCTGTTCCGGTGGTCTATAGATTGTCCCGACTATTACAGATTTAGCATTGTCAAAAATACTATATTTACTATACTATATTTACCTTGTTTACACTAAGCGGTCCTAATGTGTTCATCTGTGTATGTTACACTTGCATGTATGAGATCATTAAGTGCCTTGTAACTTCTTTTTTTATAGTTTCACTCCGTTTGAATGTCAGTGGACTGCAAATAAGTCAATAAAGGAGCATGGCTGCTCATTCCCTGGCTCTCAAAAGAGTTTGGCTGGTTTTTTAAATCCATGTTCACACTGAGACAACACAGAGAGAGAACAGTACACCTATTGTGTAAGAACATACAAGCAGGTCACACAGTATGATCACAAATACATAAACTCTGTTAAAAATCAGTTTTTATTAAAAAGTACAGGCTGCATGTGTGTTCTCAGCCTTGGAGAAACTTGACATGTTTTGGTACATGTATGTGTCTGAACATCTCTTCAGTGGTTCAATAATATAACAGATATTTCAACGTGTGCCTACTTTGTTCATGTACTGTTGAGGTTAATTTCAGTAGTTGTGTGCTATTACAAAGTGTGAAGAGGAGGCAACTTTAGAATAGGGAACCTGTTCTGGTCAATTAGAGTCAAACTACTAGCTTATTGGTTATGAACAAGACTTCACTTTAGAATAGGGAACATATTTTTAGATAGAAATACCTAATTAGAGTCAAACTACTAGCTTATTGGTTATAAACAAGACTTCACTTTAAAATAGGGAACATGTTCTTAGATATAAATAGCAAATTTTGAGTTGTTTAGACTTAATTAACACTTGTAGTTTCATGTCTTGTTACATAAGAATAGATTATATTTGTTAAGTGTTATTATGGGAGAATTACTATTCTTGTGGTACTACTGCCTTATTAGGCCCATATTGGGCAGCGCATATTAAGACCAAAACTCATGTACAATAAGTTCCTTACTTGCAACAAATAAGCACTAATTAGAGGGTTAATGCGGAAAAACTCTCAACTAATGGCCTATTACTTGTAGAATATGGTCATGTAGAATAAGGCATTAATAAGTGTTTTATAATGACTAATAAAGAGCCAATATACTGCTAATATGCATGTTAATTAAAAACTAGTTGATGGTTAATTTGTGTACCTTAATATAAAGTGTTACCGCCATTTGTATTTCAAGCAGATGTGCACTGCACCATTTCTCATACGTCTGCAGTGTCACCCTTGGAGTGACAGCTGTGTGATCCTCGCCAACACATTTAAGTCAGAAAGATGAAAGCGCTGCTGTCTGTGGGGATATAATATCTGCAGACCGTCACGTCTCCTGCCTGCTCAGTCGAAGCGTTTTCCTTTGCGCTCTAACTGCGTCACGCCGCTTTCACCTTACATTTTAGTCCCCGTCATTCACACTGTCGTCCCAGCAGGTGGTTAATCATAAGAGCGACATTTGTTTGAATGACTTTGATAGGGCTCAGTGTCTCCAGGGATGAATGTGCGACATCTGATTGTTGATGTGGGGGAGGGGGGGGAGACACTCACCCTCCTGGGACCAGACGCCCTGCAGGACTCTTCTGACAGGTACAGGGAACTTCGTGTCGAGGATTTTATTAAAATTGTTTCTATAATCCAAGTTTTTACAAATGACTGCCCCCAGTGAATCACTCATGTAAAACAATGACTTTCTGGGAAAAGTCTAGACTGAAATGACCATTATTTCAGGGGGATTCTAATAAAAAAAAAATGCTTATATAAATATATATTAAAAAAAGTAATTTAGGAACCCACCCTGCCTCAGTCTGAAGGGACTTGGCTTGGACAGCAAAAGGTCTCTGGTTCGAGTCCTGATTGGACCAAAAAATACGGAGACTGGCAGCTGGAGAGGTGCAAGTTCACCTTCTGGGCACTGCCGAGGCACCCAACCGAAACCCCCCAAACTGCTCCCTGGTGCCAGAATACTAGCAGCCCTTATGCTCTACCACCTTTTCATCAATGCATAGGTCCTGTTTGCATGTGTGTGTATTTCCGGCGTATGTGTGCAATTGTATAATTGTATACTACCAGTAGAGTGAAAAACTGAATTTCCCCTCGGGGATTAATAAGGGTCCATCTTATTCTTAATTTCAATGAAATATACATCTCAAAATCTATCAAATGTATTCAACACAGGTGTTGTTAATACCTTGATGTTGCCCTCAGCTGACCCGCTGATGAAGCAGTCCTCGGTGGGGTCGACAGCCAGAGCTTTGACGGGGGAGTCGTGAGCCAGGAAGCTCTGGCGCTGGTGGCGGGGGGCGAGCTCCAGGACGCTGATCCAGCCCTTCCTCCCTCCCGTGATGAGCAGCTGCTGCCTGGAGGCCATCAGGAGCACCGTGGCCCCGGACTCGTGGCAGCAGAACGCTGAGGAGAAGGATGGGATATTTGTACTTGAGGATAATATTTGGAATAAGGGCTGGAAATTATGTTTATTTTCTCTGCCAATTATTTTTGCAAAATAAAAAAACAAATGTCTCAGCAGATGTCTTTCATTTGTTTGTTTTGTTCCACCAACAGTTCCAAACCAATTACTACTACAGTATATAAGCAACTTTCTTATTTAAAAAAGTGAATATCCACATTTGAGACGGTGGAAACGGGTTGTCTATATATTTTTTATTATTAAATGATTAGCAGTATTATTGCAGATGGCTTTAGGTGATTCATCAAATAAGCAGTTCTGCTGAGCTGCATCTCACCATGCACCAGGCTGTTGGCAGGAGTCACCAGAGTGTCCCACAGACACACGTTCCTGTGGAGGCGAAAGAACAACAATATTACTATCCAATCAGGGCAGGCCATTATCACTGCTGGTCACAGCGCAGTGGAGCTGAATTCAAACGATGCAGCAGTTCATTAGAAGTTCATGAAACAATTCAATTGGAAAATTCTCCTCTCTAACCTGTTGTCTGTTGAGAGTCCTGCAGTGGCAATGAGGGAGGAGGAGCCCACGAAGACAAAGTCGTTTGCTGTCTTGTTGTGGCAATGCAGCGTCTGTCAGAGAGGAACAAAGAAGGAAAGGGAGAAGCAGGAGATTAAACAAAACATTAGAATAACAGGAAGAAAGTGCGAGAACATCGGCACCCCCTTGAAAACGAGATGGTGCATCTCAAGGGGTTTATCAAAAAATAAATAACATTTCTAATAATAATAACATCTTGAAAGAGAAACATGTCGGTTAAATTAAAGGTCCATCGGCTCAGTGAGTCTCTTACCAGGTATGGTTTGGGAGCAGTCCCACTGGTGTTGGTCTGCCAGAGACTCAAACCTCCATCAGCATCCACGATACCAAACTAAAAACAACATTCAGAGAGCATATATCAGACTTTGCTAAAATAAAGTTAGAATAATCTTTTATTTTACATCAGAGAGAAATAACATACTGTCCTGTCCTCCTGCTGTGTTTGCGTGACTTGGCTTGTTCTCAAACTATCTTCCAAAACACATCAACAGCGACTAACAAACACTCACATAAACTAAAATCTAAATCTGATGGTTCTTCCAACTTTTGTTTTTCAAGCATATTTCACTCTTTTGGCCAGAGAAGACGGTACTGGCAGAGGAGAAGCACCATCTGAGAAAGTTATCAGCTCGAGGCGACTGCCTGAGTTAAGAGCAGTTGAATCACTCGGCTGAATAACAAAATGTGCTCGAGCCAAACCCCCCACTGAGGTTTGTGCCTGAACGGCAAAGAGTGAATATGTTGCTAAATCAGACCTCACATCACAAAGCAGTTAAAAGCTAAGAATAGTCTGACTTCTGGGTGTGGTGGTTAAGTGTTTAAGGTGTCACCTTGTTCCCCTGGTGGTTGAATCGTATCCGGGTGACTCTGGAGTTGCCTGGACTCCTGAAGCAGATGATCTGCTGGGAGTGACCCCACTCGAACATCCGGACGCTTCCATCCTGTGCCCCCGTCAGGTCTGAAATACAGAAAAACAAAGTGTGCCGTCAGCTCGTTTATCCGTGCATCTCAACGAGAATGCAAGTCCCAACACGAGGTTTTAGCATTTCTTAGTTCCGCAAAATCTTCCATATGTATAATTGATGGGAAATGGTTTATTCACAAACAAAGAAAACAGCAATTTTTTTGACGTGCTGGGAATCATCCCAGCCAAACACCTAACAACTGAATCCCCACTCTGCAGAATGAATGATAAGTGATTTAACAAACAGGGCTCACTCAGCCTTACTAAATCCACCAAACTGGGACGAGAAGAACAAAATAAACTTGCTAGATATCTACACATGATAAAGTTTGTTAGTTTGCCCCTTTAACATAAGAGACATGATGTCCTTATAGCAAATGTAATATGCATTTACGGTTCTAATCCACCGACAGTCGTACTTACAGTACGGCAGTGTGGGATGGGAGGTCATTCTTCTCACATTGTTGATATTTCTCTTGATCATCTGGGTGACGAAAAGTGAAACGGAGGAGAAGAAGATGTTTAGTAAGCCAACTTCAGTAGAAACAAATATAAAACTTTATTATGATAAACGTTAGTTCTTTACAACAGAGAACAATGTACCAGTCGACACTTAAACAATATGACGCTATACTAAAGCTCTTATCACTGCAGCTTCCTCTCTCTGTTAAACTAATGGCTTGTTACTAATGGGTTGCCATTAAGTTTTATGTAAATGTTAAGTGCCTTAACATTTACCCAACAAGGTCTAAAAAAGGCTCATCTGTAGATACAATCCAATTAATGAGGTCAGAAAATGCTAATCTTAATTATGCCAAGGCACATATATAATGCTGCATAAGTAACAGCATAAATGGATGCTGGCTCTACCATCATATAGCATAAATTGTCTTAATGTAGTGAAGCTCTGTTATTATTTCCTGTCATGTGTTTTGACTGGTGGCCAAGAAAGGTAGACATTAACAGCAATGTCTGCCAGGGATTTTATTTATTATTGTCTGTAAACGTATTCTGCTCCAACCTTGAGCACCAGCCTGACTGGTTGGTAAAGTAATTAGGGCTCTAACTGTCCGCTCTGCTTATCGAGATCAACACAACATGACTCACCGCTGACTCGTTTCCAAAACACTGCTACCACCAAAATAAAACCAATACCCCTGCTGACTGCTAATGCCAAATGTATCTGCTCAGTAAAATGGCTTTGAAAGATGTTTCTGTTTTTATAAATACAAGTATAAGAATGACAGAACCTGGTGTCTCCAATGTGTGTATAGTATATTAAACCTGTGGAAATAATACTAATGGTTTTTTTCAAGGTTTAGTTTAACTCCATACTAGATTTGGATTCATTTCCAAATTACAACAGAAGAGGATCAATTAAATTATCATTGGGGTATCTGGCAAATAGTTATCTAGCTTTGGTTTTGGGCCATTTTATCATTTCATGGTAGTTTTCCTAGACTGGTTTGGTAGTCTTAGACTTGGCTGATGAACAGCACTTTTGTTCTTAAATGGATGACACCCTCTTAACACATCCACCTACATTCAAGCTCCAAGGGTGCAATGTAAGATGCTTTGTGAAAGAGTTGTCAGGTATGTAAATATGCAAATCACTAAAGCATGAGAACACAGATGGGGCAAAGAACAGCTCAGGTAAATTCATCTCACAACTCTAGATGTAGCGCTGCTCACCACGGCTGCACCCCGGCCTGTCTGCACCCCACCCAGCCACGGCATGTTGATGGGGGTGCCCGGGCTGCTGTGAGTGTACGGCGTGGTGCCGTGGATGGTGGCAAAGTCATCGCGTGCATGCACCACCAGGAAGTCATCGGCAACACTGCAGGGACAAAATATTAGGTTATATTGTGAAATGAATTTCATTAAGCTAGTGAAATCTTAAAAAGGGACAAACGAGAAGAAAACAAATATGAATATCAGTGCTATCTCTGTGCGTTCAGATTTTAATGTTCTTTAACTGACCTATTTATTCTCCCAAGAGTCGATGGCAAGTGATTAAAATCACTGTAATGCATCAGTGGCAAAAATGAAAGGCACATTTTCCCAGTTGGTCGGATGTTAAATTAGCCATTTAAACACACAGGAAAGTCTTCCAAGAAGAAATGATAACCCTGTATGGAAAATAACAATCAAACCAAAAATGATGCCAGAATGATCTTGTCTATAAGTTAACGTGTGCATTTATTGGGAAATATAACTGGTAGCAGGTATTAGGGATGCACAATATGAGGACAAATACCCCAAAACTTTGGATATCACAGTAACGATATTCCCTGAGATGAATCAGATAACAAAGTGTTCTCAGTTCACTCTTTATGCTGCTCTCAATTTACTGCTAAAATGCCATACATTGCTTTCTGAATTCAGAACAGGATCATTCTTTTAGTAAAGAAATGGAACATTGGACAAGAAAGAGAACACAAAAGGCAGGAATAAAAAAGTATACTGTTATTTTTTAAATTGATGTTTTTAACAACAAACAAAAGATAATTAGAACAACGCACACTGACAGAAAGTGGCCCTGTCCATAGAAAGAAGCAGCTATACACAAATATATCTATTAACAATGTGGCACATGCAATAATAAACACATAATAGAGATGCATATCCACCACCTACACAATTACAGAACCAATCACATTGTCCCCAGCCCACACTCAATTTAGCTCTCTTGGTATGAGGGTGAAAAGTGAGTGGATGTTACTTTGGGTGAACTCTCACAGCAAACAAAAAACACACACACACACACAAACACACACCCCCACCCTTTGGCTTCGGCCTCCTCGTCATCGATCCATGTCAAGATCTGTGTGGCCAAGATGGATGACACATCCAACTCTTGGATGTCATGGGTGGAGGCCATGACTAAACAATTACGATTTGCCTGGGAGACAGAAAGACAGACATGACATGGGAAAAGAGAGAGGGGTGACAGAGACGATAAGGGTGAGGAAAATAGGGAGACTTAATTTGACTTTTTCAACTTCATTCTGCCTGCGGCCATAAAACCATCAAACTTCCTTTAATGATGACCTGAGGTGAACCTTCCTTTGATCACCAGCACCACTGCTTCCCTTTAAATAAATAGCTACATTCAAGTAAAATAATCAGTGTGAACCTCTCCCTATATCAAACAAAGAAAACACGGGCAACATCAAAGGGGCTAGGATATGGTGTAAGAGTTGTGCCACTGGCCAAGGATTTCATATTTGCTTTGAATTGAAAAAGTGTGTTCTGAGACTGTTGGACAAAGTTAATTTGATGAAGTTTGTAAAAACTCTGTTTGAATCCACAACATTTTAAAACATTCAGAAGTTAGCTGAGCATTTTATTATGTTGTTTGTCTCTACTGCAAAGCATTATTGCCATCAACTGCTGTATTGAATGTTTTAGATTTGCCACTCTGGGACTAACAACATTTACATATTATAACGTTTAAGCAAATTGAAACAATCGGTTTACACATCCAGCAGGCTAAGAGCAACAATAACATTTATTTTGTCTTTCTGGCATGCTCCTTACAGCTCTGTGTTTGGTCTCCACAGACACCAGAGGGAAATGTCTGGCTCTTTAGCTGCGAAATGCTCCACTAGGTGGTGTCTGTCCAAAACAATGAGCTGAAAGATGCTAAAATTCCCCTTCGAAAAAAACCGCTGCCTAACAAGCCGGTTTGAATTCAAATCTAAGTTCTCCAAAATCTAAAATATCTTTAAAAAATAAATCGTTGGGGGATGTAGAAATGGGTGATTATTCTTAGTAGGTTTTTGCCACAATGACAGACCCATTTTAACACTCTGGTAATACAACTATATTGATGAAAACAGCTCCGAGATGTTTTTCAAATAATTTACAATTATCTTACTGGCTAGTACTGATAAATCATAACAAAATAATAGAATCATAAAAACAATTCTGGAGGAGGAGGTTTAATAGAAAACACCAGAGGCCTGTAAAACGAAGCTGGTTCAACCTAACCTGGATATGTTTGAGTTAGCCGGTTGGCCTAATCCAAAAACATACGCGCTCTCGCTAAGCGGTCCTACGACGCGGGTTATCAAGTGGATCGCTCAAGCCAGCCGTTTCCTATCTAGTTAGGTGCGCGTTCACATGAAAGGGGTGGTATTTGGAGCATTCGACCAATCACAAACATGGAGAAGCGTACTGACAGCGCAGCGTCATACTTCCTGAATGAAAAGTCAACTATAATATTAGACAAATATGAAGAAGTTAAACTTTAAACATCCATGACTTAAACACTTTATCCAGGATAAAAGCCACATAGCTGCACCTGCAAGGTGAATACAGCTGGTAACAGAAAAGTGTTTGAATGCGTACATTAACAGGTTTATGATATCACTGCCCCGTCTAAGACACGATCTGACTTTAATTACATTTGACTCGAGTGTCAACTTAATGTGTTGCTTAAAATAATACTTCTGCATACAGTATGTGACACTGTGAGTGTTGCACGGCCAGATACGGCTCAGCTGACTCAGATAAGAAAATATAAGATACAGATGTGATAGGATGTGATATGAATGATAATGGGACACATCGACGTCTGCACTCAGTGCTGCGGACTGAACGTAATGTTACTTTGATCCGGTTACTTTTGTTGTGGCAGATATTTAAGTAAGCTTTCTTAACGCTTATGGGACGGGTGGCGCAGTGGTCTGTGCATCTGATCATCAGATCAAGGGGGGGTGCTGGGGAACTCCAGTTCGAAACCCGCTCCTGCCGCCACGGCGTCAGGCCGTTGTGTCCTTGGGCAAGACACTTCACCCGGATTTGCTCCAGTGGGTAATGTTCACAGTACATGTATGATATCAATGTGTACTTGTAAAAGCGCCTCGATGACTTCGAGGCGTGAAGATGGACGGTGTGGCGCAGTGCAATGATCATCAGATCAAGGGGTGAAACCCGCCGCTGCTGCGTCTGTAAAGCCGTTGTGTCCTTGGGCAAGACACTTCACCTGAACTTGCTCCTGTGGGTATTGTCCACAGTGACCATTGCATGTATACAAAATATGTGTAATGTGTATTTGTAAAGCGCTTTGAGCATCTGGAAAAGCGCTATAATAAATGTAAGGAATTATTATTATTATTATTAATGTTATAATAGTCAGATTGCTCTGAAGATGGGAGGTGATGTTCTATTAATGTTCACGTTCACACAGTCAGTTGATTTTTGCCGGCCGTCTTTCCTGCGACGGCAGTTTTTCTGTATTTCCTTTCTCCTGTAATATGACTTGATCGCTTTAAACTCCGCACACTGACCTCTGATTGGTCAGCAGGCGGTGCTTTCACTGACTTGATCTCTTAGCCTGCAACCTAACCTGCTCCGGACCAGGTTAGCCGCTCAGCAGAAGTTACCATGGAGATCTAGCCCGCTAAAAAGAGAACCAGCGTCGTAGGACCGGAAACCCCGAGTTTTCCCTGAAGTTAGCTCGCTAAGCAAAAATCCGGCTTCGTCGTACAGGCCTCAGATGGCCAGATAAATAAACAATGAATGAACGATGATATAATTATATTGTACAGTTCACTGGCATCTGTGTGTGAGGGTTGTACCTTGTTGATGGCGAAGGCGGTGATGATGTCAGATTCCTTGTGGATGATGCGTGACTTCCCTCCGGGGGAGCCCAGATCTGACTCAGCCTGCACAAAGGAATACAAACAGACACAAATCATCACCATGGAGATTCAATTATTATGGTTGATACGTTGGTAAACATTTCCAGAGGACAAATAACAGCCATTACTTCAGATAAGGCACATTTCCTTTCAAGTTACAGAACCAATGATCTGACAATATCCATGAGAGGGGATGATGAATGAAGTCTCAAATCATTTGCTGTAGCTGAAGACAACAGGGCTGATGTTATCACAGGCCTATTCTTTGTTTTCTACACTATGTTATATGTACACTTTGTTTGTTTATCTTGCCTCTACAAGTTAAGAGATGACATGTGAGGTGCATCAGGCCACCCTGTTAACCACAGCAGCCGACATAAATGGGTTAGTGCCATTAGATTGCATGAGCACAACAGCCCTGGAGCGATTAGCTTTAGCACACACTGTGCACTGGAGGTCCTTCGGGATGTATGCAGTGGCAAAGTAGGCTTTTCTGTAGCTATGCATATTGTATAGAGACGTAACATGTTGATGTTATTGTCCGACAGGCATCCTTTGAGCATGTGATTGAATTAAAGTCTTTACTGCATCTATTCAAGGGAAAAAGACCATGTCTTCTTCTGTCAGATGGAATAAAGTAAAACTTGACTTGCAAAAATCTAAATATGGTGGTTTGCCATTTTGGCCGAGCACATAATCCCTGTGGGGAGCAGATTCACTGCGACAGTGTTGGCCCATTAATCAGAAGCTATTCAGCTTCTGTACTTGTCCTCTGAGAGACTGGGTTAATTAACACTGAGCCAAATGGAGTAGCTACAATGTGGCAGCGTGCACAGCGAGAGCCAGAAGATTAGAAACCTCTCTGAAGCATCAACGCACAGAGCAATTTCAGATGTATGGTTCACATTCACATGAATATTTAGGCAGCTAGATGTTGGATTAATATCATACACTGACAGGAACATTCAGTGTTCATTGCCCAGAAAATAGACATACTGTAATTCTGTCAAGATGACAATATATGTTTCTTAGATTTGATGTGACAGTTCACATGTACTCTTCCCAAGTAGGAGGCAAACAGAAGGAACATGATGTGCAGTTCTCATATCCAACAATGGTACACGTTGTACCGCCCACACTACAGTAAGGGGATGTGAATTATGTTTCATACAGTATTCAACATCTGCACAAATTAAAAGTACACAAAGTACAAAGTATTGCATACTGTATTACGTACCGTTTTGAGTTACCAGAGATCAGACGGGCATGGTTAAATATATAGATATGTCATGTAAACTTTAAGCTTCCACAATTGTCTTTTATCAAAAACCTTTAGAGTGATGCTCTGGGCCGTCACATGCTGAAAAGCTTGGGGGTAATATGTGTGACTAATCACAAAGTTGATCATTTTGCTATTGTCATATTAAGTGAATTCATTTGAAAGTACTTCCTGCAGTCTGCATGTCACAATCATGCAATCCTAAATGAAGGCTTAACATAAACGTTTAATTGACATGCTACAAAAACAATCAAATGGCATGTTGTAGAAATCATTTGTTTGTATGATTACAATCCCCAGGACTCTACCACAAAGATTGGTTCTAAGGCTGAGTTTCTGTGTTTTCTCCAAATATCAGTTTGAATACTATACAATTAATTTAGTGTATAAGTTAGCACTTCTTAAAACAATGTTTTATCTATGTGCAACAATGAATAGATCTAAACAAATCATTCGGTGCAGATCTTGGTTCTTGACAGTTCTCAGTAATTGGTGCCAAAGACACAAAACTGAGATTTGGAGCCCATCCCACTCTTATATATAAAGTCACACTGAATCTGAAGCAGCAGTACCTGATGGTTTCCTGTCTCCTCCATCCCTGAACATTTCATATTGTCAGTCTGGTCCTCACTCGCCTTTAATGATTGGGGAATCAGCACAGGGGAGTCACACACACACACACACACATACAAAACACACAAAACACACACAACATAGAACAACAACCAGTGATGAACCATGCAGTCAAACACAAACAGAATTATTTTGCTGTTAATCAAACAGGGTGTTATTATTGTAATAAAGCATCAACATGCAACTGGAAGCGGTAATAATACATGAGGGTGGCATGCAGAATAAAAATAATGAATGCACCAATAGGGATGTAAAAGCCGTCACGATGCAGTTTGCCTTGGGCCAAATACAGATGCTTGTGAATTTTAGCATAACAAAATACTCAATGTGTTATTCAGGGTTAATTAGGATGTGCTAGCTGTGAAACATGGAGGCACTTCATGCAGAGGGTCAGCATGATGTAAACACTTGGTACCTCATTGGGGTCCCGTTTCTTGGTGAAGATGTTTCTGATGAAAGTCTCCTGCACTTCCTCCTGCTTCACCAGATACTGCCACAAGCGCTTCACTGGCAGCGCTGAATGGTGGCTAGTCCTGAAAATAATACAACACCTCCTGCATATTAACACTAATACTCATTTAATCAGCTGCATCAGATCACTGAAGCACAACAACACGTGATACAAGATATCATGTCAGATTTGTGCCATCGGTGCTGATATGAAATCTCCACATTCAAATGCACAGAACAATGCTCCGAGAACAGTAAATCCCTTCAGAGAGTGCTGTGCGGGCCATGTGGAAATCGATAGGGGTCAGATGAAGGATAAAGCTTAGATTCCATGGATATCTTGAGAGACCATTTCTAGATACATTTAACGGCTATGGATGTGTCTTACAGATATATCTGGTGCTGAATGCTAAAATGCAATCAATTGAATAGCATCACTTATTCATGATGTTTAAAAGGGTCTATCTGTAGGCTCCAAGCGATATCATAAAAGATAAGTCATCTGCTTTGTCAACACAAAACACACTAAGGCTAAGTACTTTCAAATTCAATCCAAGTTTAATACCTTTTTTAAATCTTCTCATCAAATAAACAAATATTTTTCAAGCTACGCCGAGGAGGTTATGTTTCCTGCTCGAGTTTTTGTGCACATCGGTATATCAGCAGGATTGCAGAAGAACTACCTGATGCAAGACGTTGCATGGCGGAGTAAGAACCAAAAACAAATTGGATGAGTGATTGGAATCATGGGGAGAATCATGAATTATCCTTCACTTCCATTAACACTGGCAGATAGGGCTTTTAGGCTACATTCATTTGGTGTCTGAATAATTGGACAAATGAGTTCCCTCAGATTCATGTTAACGTCTCCTCAAATCAGAAAAATAACTCGGAAACAGACATCAATGGGATGTTGAAACGCTCCGAGCAATTACATACAACACATATTCTTTATAGCCTTACAACTTATTAAAGCCCCTGAAAACAAGGACACAAGTCGGAAACACATCCTCCAAACTCGGGACCATCTAAGAAGCATGTTGACACACTATTGGCTACCGCTCAAGTTTGTACCTGAATGGGGTGTTGGAAGGCTCGAACAGGGCCTTGTGTCTGAGCAGGGCGGGGCCAGGCGCCGTGGTTTCATCCTGGGGGGTGGTGGAGATGTACTTCGAAGGGGGGCCCCCGAAGATCTCCAGCCTTTTCTGCAGCACCTGCTCCCAGCGCTGCAGCGTCTTCAGCACAGCGTGACACAGAGGAGAGCACACAGGCAGGTCTGCGTCAAGTGGAAGCAAGAAGGCAATAAGATGAGCTCAGACAGGCGGGAGGCACTTAACCACATCCTGGGACTTTGTACAGAACAGTGTGTGTGCATTCTTATGTTTACCTAATAGATCATATCCTGCCATTGGGTAAAAGGTTTTGAGATTGACCAACACCAGCTGAACCATTGCCAGACGCATCAAACACCAACTGAGAGAGGAAAGAAAACATTACAAACAAGATTACA